CGCAAAAGAAAAATTCTTTTTGTCAACAAACATAATCCAGTATTTTCTCCTCTATCATTGGAGCACTTTATGTCTCTATTGAAGTTTGTATGCTGTGGTTGCATTGACTAAACACAACTTTTAGTTCTTCTCCACATCAGTAGATGAGCCCAAATGTTGTGTCAGTTTCAAGTTGAAAGATGTGGTTTTTCTTCACTCAAATTATCTAGTTGACAGTTGAGACTGCCTAGTGTTACAAAATGTTGCAGAACACAGTTTTGTTGTTGTGGCAATTGAATCCAGATTATAATCGATGAAAAAAAAAGGCACCAGAGTCTATGTTTTGTTGAATAACCTGCACTTGCTTTGTTTTTTATCCTTTGTTAGCCATGCTAGTTATTTTTATGCTCACTCCTAGCTTGCTGATCTACTGAGTTTTTCCTGTCTTTGCTTGATACTTATCTGAGGTACATAGATAATCATTTTATCAACATAGCAACTATTTTTCTTTCTGCCATTAACGTGTGATGTGCATGACAGTTTGTATTATCCCTTGTATTTGCAATAATAGAGAGTTATATTAGATATCATACATTCTGGAGACTTTTTCTATTTTTATACCACTTGTTGCTAGTTGTTGCCTGAGCTAACAATCTTTTCAACCCTTTCAGAGCCTTGATGAGATCCCAGACAAGTCCCTCAAGAGCAAAGATGGTTCAAGAGTCTGCAAAGATTTTGTTAGTTTGGTAAAAGAGTGGCTTCAAAAGATTCAGGTATAGCTGTAAAAACCTCGTGGCATGCTTTTACTTGCTACAGTACCCTTATGTTACTATTTTGTTGGTTTCAGTTAGCAGATTCGTTATGTGGTGTATTTGGTGAGACAAATCAAAGTGAGCTGGCAGCATTTGCATCCTATGCATTGGCTTTTCCGACCAATTTTCTAGCTCTTGTGGACACATATGATGTAAGTTGTTGCGATGTTCTTTAATCATTTTATTGTTGAGATGCATATATGAGTGAGTAGTTCTGAACCTTTTTTCTTTTTGAAACAGAAAGTAGGTATGGAACTTCACATATCATACTTTGTCAATAAACAACTTGACAAAAATCTCATATTTGTCCTTTGGAGTCTTCCTTTTTTATGCTAGCATTTCTCAGTGGCTTCTTTTACAAAAAATCATTTTTCTTTGAACGTTTTGCAACCTGGATTTTACAAACAGAGATGCAACCAGTTTTAAGTGTGCAAGTATTTAGACTTGATGATGATGTTCAACTATGGTGATTTCGATGTCATAATTAATCTGGCACTCCTCCAGGATGCATAAACTCTGAACAATCAGTGTGTACATCTGTAGCCTTTGTTTCATATCATTTGATAGTCTGCTGTGCGTAGTGACATGCCCTTACCGGTACCCTGTAAGTCTGTAACTCTTTAGTGGTGTGCAGATTTTCAATGCATTTATGCCGCACATGTACGTTCTATGTTCTCTAGCTTTAACTCACCAAGTTTCCTTTCAGGTTATGCGAAGTGGAATTCCAAACTTCTGTGCAGTAGCGCTAGCACTCCATGACTTAGGGTAGGTCAAATCAAACGTATCCTTGGCTACTGTACATTTGCATTTTGATTGAAGCTCGATTGAATTGGAGCTTATCTTCTCATGGAGATCTTACATGACAGTGTCTTACAGAAAATATAAATGAAGCTAAAGATTAAGGCAAAGTTCACCCAATACAATCCAATTTAAGATGGTACAAGTTTATATCAAATTTGTGTTTTCCAAATCTGAATCATTCTGATCTATACTTGCAAAATAATCTGTAATATCTTAGTAATCTAGACACCATCATACTTTGGGCATATAAGATGCCAGTTGGTTGCAAATTTGTAGTTTTTAACATGTGTTCTTATTGTAACATTAGAAAACATATAATGCATCATGTGCTTATTGTTTTCTCATTAAATATTTGAATCATCAAGTTTTATAAAGATGTCTTATTTTGTAGATCACTGTCTAATAAAAAAGAAAAATCTTATTTTGTAGGTACAAGGCATCTGGTATTAGATTAGATTCTGGTGATCTGGCCTATTTGTCTATTGAGGCCCGTAAAGTGTTCCGTACACTAGAAAAGGAGTTTAATGTGCCCGCTTTTGGGAAGATGATAATTACTGCTAGCAATGACCTGAATGAGGAAACAATTGATGCCCTGAACAAGCAGGTAATAAAATTGCCAAGAACTTCATTGTGGCATTTATGTTATCTGGCGCATTTGTGTGTGCTCCTGTGGACTACAGGGCTTGTTTTTATTTCCAATCCTTCTAATATGATTTAAATTTCTATTTATTTCAGGGCCATGAAGTTGATTCCTTTGGTATTGGAACTTATCTAGTAACATGTTATTCCCAGGCTGCTCTTGGCTGTGTCTTTAAGCTAGTTGAGATAAACAGTAGACCTCGTATCAAACTTTCTGAGGATGTGGCTAAAGTGGGTCTATTTTTTCTTTTCATGTTGACAAAGAATTTCATTTCTTTTTGTTTACTTATAGTGTCATGATGGGTTCCAGGTATCCATTCCATGCAAAAAGCGATGTTTCAGATTGTATGGAAAAGAAGGCTACCCCTTAGTAGATATCATGATGCGTGAAAGTGAACCATCACCGAAGGTAACTATGAATATTGTCCAAATTATCCCTATTTGTTACCATGCAATGCTGCTGTCACTTATATCCTTTGCTGACCCTTTTTTATCTACACTAATTATTCTCGATTATTAAACTGATCTTGTTTACACCTAACATTTCAGGCTGGAGAACGAATCCTTTGTCGTCATCCATTCCTTGAATCCAAGAGAGCATATGTTGTCCCCCAGCATGTTGAGGAGCTCCTACAATGCTACTGGCCTGGTACATCAAGTATGTATCGTGGATCTTTCTAAAAAATGATAAGTTCTTCAGTTGACATGGCTAATTTTGAATTGTAAAGGAACTAATCAGAGTTGGTATTCTATCCTACTGCTTATTGTGCAACAATTACATTTGCATATGTGTCCCTTTCAGATAAACCTAGGGTAGAGTTACCCTCTCTAGAGGAGATCAGAGGGCGCTGCATGCAACAGCTTGAAAAACTTCGACCAGATCACATCAGGCGGTTAAATCCAACACCTTACAAGGTTTGTCTTCGTTTCAATCTTTCTTTCCCTTTTTGCTTCCTTCAGTTCCCTTTTTTTTTTACAAGATCTTTACTTCGAGCAGGTGAGTGTGAGTGCAAAGCTGTATGAGTTTATCCATTCCCTATGGTTGAATGAGGCCCCAGTAGGAGAGTTACAATAGATTTCTACAGAAGTTGGGAAAAACAGAGAAGCGTATTCTTTGAAGCATAGCAAAATAGCAATACATCAAAGAAAAGTAGAGCTCTGTTGTAAAAAAATAAAAAAAATCGTCAGTTCATGGGCCCAACCTTATAGGATTTTTGCTCCCCAATTTTTATTAGTACAAACTAGTTATCAGTATAGAGATAGGCCAACCTATCTGACTGTACATCCATGATCCATTGTACTATACGTCGTTATGGAATTGAACATCCTTTTTGGAGATTTGAGTCCATGAGATGATGAGAACAAATAATCGCTGTAAAAGGTTGAGATCATGCCCCCCTTTGTCCTTCCAGAAACATTTGCAGGTGATTGATTCAGAAACTAAGGCAGCCAAGCATTGGTATAATATCCGTACTCCATGTAAGATTCATAGTTTTTTTTTTTTCGTTTTGATTTATAAGATTCAGAGTTGAAACTTGAGCAGAACAAAAATGTAGTTGCACCCTGTGTCGGCTGTTGGGCTGGGTTCCTCGTTGTGTTCATGGTACAAGGAAAATTGAAGATCCCTGAATAATAAGGTCAACAGCACAAGCTGAGAAAAGGTGGGTGATGTACTTCCCAACTACCATTGCATTAACAGAGCTGAACATAGGAGTACTGGTCAGGTATTTAAGTGGAGACAAGTTGGCAACCATGGTCATTTGACCATTCCCTCATTTGCCATTATTGCCATCATAGAAAGAACAAAAAAAGGGAAAAATATCTCCTCATTTGCCAATAATAAGTGGAGGCAAGTAGGTCGTCTATTTCATTTCACCCATATTTAGGGCCCCCTTTGAATGCAAAAATAGTGGAATATGAAAAATGCAAGATTTTAATAGGAATATAAGTACAAAACAGAGGATTGCAAAATACAGAAAAAGCAAAGGAAGGAATAGGATGAGAGAGATAGATTCAAAAGAAAATTTCTTAGAGGTTTGAAGCTCTTGCTAAATTTTCTCTAGAATCTCTATAGAATTGTCTATTTCAATGGAATTTTAAAGAATAACATAGGATTAAATCCTTTGTTTTAAAGGCCTTCATAGGAAATTTTTCTATAAAATTGAAATCCTCCAAAATTCTTATGTTTTTCCTCCAAATCAAATAAGCCCTTAATGGGTATTGTGTAACTGGGAAATCAATGGATTTTGCAAGCGTACGGGACCTAATTATAAAAAATAAAGGTTAAAAACATACTCCTCAGCAACAAATACCAAGTTGTACCTCGCTAAGGGCTTTCATAATTTAAATGGTTTTAAAATGCCATATAACCTACGGGCACTCATTAAAAAAACAATTCTCCCATAATGCAAGTGGTATCTTTGATCGGCCTCATCTTTTCGTTTATACTTATACTTATCAGCCAAAAAATAAATTTTAAATTGGAAGTTAGTTTTGGAGTTTTTTCATCGGAGTTTATTTTTTAACTTTTGCTTTTAGATCGTTAAGAACATATATATAAAAGTTTTATTCACAAGTTATTTTTAGTTTGTAATAGGACATTTCGCTTATTCCCCGAATACCCCGAATAAGTGGAATGATGGGACCGGATATTTCATATCAGCCTCTAGCATAAAAATAATTCTACCACTCGCCACGTCACAGTGTTGTTCATCCCCTGAGGCCACGATTGAGAAGCCAAAACCGCCACCTAAGCCAGGAACTGTGCAAGCAACCCCCTCCACAGTGCATGTGACCTTCCATCTATTATAGTGGGTCCCACCACTCTTCATTCCTCTTCTCTCTCCACCTTTCCCCACCGTCGGACGAAGCGAGAGGAGACCAAGATGTGCCAGCGGGGAATGGAGCAGCGATGCGCCGGCGGGGAACGAGCGGCGGCGGCGCGACACCACGTGAGGTCGGCGGCGGGAGGAGGCGGAGCAGCGGCGTGACCTCGGTGCCGCCACGCGGTGCCTGGAGGTGGCGCTGGCCCCGCTGCCCGCCGCGTCGCTCCTCCCGCTCACCGAGGCCCGGGTGCGGCTGCGTCTCGCGGCCCTGCTGCTGCGTTCCCGCTCCAAGGGCTTGCCACCACCAAGTCCCACCTCGAGCGTGCCTTGCTGCTCCCCTCCTCCCAGAGCTCTGGCGTGGATATCCGGCGGGCGGAGCGATGGATCCAGCGACGACGGAGCAGCTTCAGGGCGGCCAGATCCAGCCGAGCGGCGATGGAGCGGGGCGGAGCAGCGGTGAGGGCGCCGGGCGAAGCAGCGGTGAGGGCACTGAGCGGAGCAGCTGCGGGCGATGGCGGCTCGCCGGATCTCCTTCTCTCTTCAGCTCGCCTGCGCCAAATCCCTCTCCCCTCTCCTCGTCGGCGCCTGCTGTTCTGGGCAACGACAACTAGCAGCGGGGTTGCGGTTGTGCGGATGCCTGACGAATCCTGGCTATTCCCTGACGAAGAACGTGTGTCCCATTTTGGCTCCCCGTTCCTCGCTTGGTCACGGTAGCGTCTGACATGGAGGGGAATCTTGGCTGAGGCTGGGTGAGGCTGAATACCACCTATGCGCACTGTGAACGCCCTGAGTCACCGGCAGCAGGAGCCTCCAACCCAATGTTGGCTTTCCTTTTTGTTTGTGATGAAGTAGTAGTATATGGATGTACTGTCAACCTTGTACTAATATTTTCGCTGCAGCTTTTGTTAAAGCAAAAGCCAAGATTTTCCCATTATCGAAAAATAAAGCAGCCTCCAAACCCTGTACGGGCAACGGACTGATGAATGTACGAACTTCTACAGCGCAGATATGGACTGTTTCTTCTCCCTAGGAACCCACATTGTCATCAGTACATCGTTTCTGTTTTCAAGGGCATGTCTACTGCATTAGCATTACTACTAAATTAATAGTGGTACTACCAAATTCAGCAGCTTTTTGTAGGTAATGTTGGTATGATTAGTTTAACTGCTTAGAATATTTATGATTAGCCGTTGAATTGCGTTCATGTACTGTCTACTTCCGGGGTTTGTTTGATATAGGTGGATATTAGCTTCGAACTTTATGAATGAATGGACATGGAAGTTGAATTGATCCACAACAACCTGAATGGATTGAATTAAAATCCACAACAACATGAATGGATTGAGCTGAATTGGGTTACTCCCATCCACAAGATCATGTCATGTTTGCAATGATTACAGGTTTTATGTGGTACTCCTATGATTACAGGTTTTATGGAGTAGTATGCAGTATCAATGTTAAGGTCCTACTCCTATGTGAGGTCTGTAAGTTCAATAGTACTACTACTTTGTGAAGTTGCTTTTCAACAAAATTTCTACAAAAGAAAAAAAAATCCATAAGCCTACAAAAGTGATTAGTGACAGGAGTACCATTGTGGCAAGGAGAAATGTGCTAGTACAAGCCTACAAATATGCAATTAATTTGCAACTTCTCTTCAAGGCTATAATGGAGGGAAAGCGTCCACCTAAACCGTATGCAGATAACAATACGTCCTTGCATCCTGTTGGTACAATACACACAAGTTTTGTGTAGAGGCTGTTGGTTACTCATCATGCACCAGCACACGTACACACACACACGTGAGTCGGTGAGTACTAAAATAAGATTGAACACAAGCTTCAGCTTCACCATTATCCATAGCCGAAATTTAAATTTTAGAATTTAATTTAAAGTTAATTTAATATTTTTATTCTAGTTTAATTTTCAGCATTGGCTTTTAAATCAGTAGTAATACATATTTAAATGTTCACGTATGGATTTTTTTTTGCTAATAAGCCTCAGGGTTTATAATAAGCAATTTAGCACCAGCTACACTAATGGTCAAAAGAAAGAAAAAAGTAACTTCTAGCCGCACAAGAATTTAGTCCTATTCAAAGAATACCACAAAAATTTTAGAGTAACAATGAATGCCAAAACTAATCATCAAGTATATCAAAAATGTTTTCCCGAATAAAAACCCTCCATAGTAGTAAAAACATTACAGGATAGCTTTATCGTGTAGGTGTTCACAATAATATTATGTCTGAAATGAATCAAACTTTTTCCTTGCCCTGTGCTGATTACTGAGAATATGGATCTAACCACAATGCTCTTCCTCCATAGTTCATGGTGGCTACTGGCTACCCTTGGTTAGGTTAATTTCAAAACGAATCAAGGTCGTTCCATAGCCTCTGGTCTAAATTATTGGATCCCACTGCATCAAAATCATAACTTTGATAAAACCTATACTTTAAAATATATTTTCTGTCTTCATATATAATATATTTCTAAAAAGAAACCCTTTAATTACAATGAAAGACACAACACAGTAGGTGTGTGTAGTGTGAAAAATATTTCCATGGAAGAGAAACCCTAATATAATATGTTCTATTTGTTGTACAGACATCAATACTTAAGTCTAAGGGCTCCTTTAATTTGGCCAAAAATCATAGAAATTTTGAAGAACTTTAATAAGAGCTCTATCCTTTTGGAAACTTTTTTTTAAGTCTATCTATCTCATCAAATTCTTATGTTTTTTTCTATGTTCCAATCAAACAGTCATTTCTATTTTTTTCTATATTTATATTTTTCTATTTCTTTGTTTTTTTCATTCCTATAATTCAAAGAGCACTTAAATGAAACTCTTTCCTTGTCCCATCCCAATTACTAAAAATTTCCCTAGATGTAGCCACAAATCCACAATGCTCTTCCCATATTGACACAGCTATGATAGGCTCAAAATAAATCTAAGGTTTCATGGATCTGGCGGCACCGTGCTGTCCGCTAGCTCACCCACCGCAGCTCAAGAAGACCTGCATTCCTCCTCCCCCAAATCACCCCCATCAAAAATATCCTACCAGTATTCTGTATTCCCCCATGCCTCCCTTCTCTTCTGACTTGATTTGTTTATTACTGACGATAATCTTGACTTCTCTGCCTCCAAATCCGATTCTCCACACATGCAAAAAGAATTAAGAATTGCATATTGCATATTGCAGCCTTGCACTTGCAGTTGCAAGGCAGCTGCTGCTACTACACCCTGTCACTCACTCACACACTCTCATCCCTGCACACACACACACACACACACACACACACACAGTGGCAGTACACACTACAGTACATGCTGCAGCCAGCAGCTACCTATACACTCACTATCACTTTTGCAAGAGTGTACTACTCCATCTAATAATTGCATCCTTCTCCTCTACATTTCTGATTGATTTCTTTTCTCCCCCTTTGATTTGTTGTTTGTTGCTTCTTGTGCTCCTCCCTCCAAAGATCACCACCACCACCACCACCACCAACCACCCACACCACCTTCCTTTCTCTCCTCCCTCTAATCTTCTCCCCCTCTCCCCACCAAGAAAAATCCAGGCTTTGTATTAGGGACCAGATTAAGCAGAGAACCACCACCTTTTGCCTTTTTGCAGTTTGCTGTTTTCACCTCCTCAAAGAGAAGAAGAAGACACTCCAAATTCTTCACCCCCCACACAACACACATTGTTTCTTCCCAAAAATCCAATCTTTTGGTTTTGGGCCCAATTTGTCCTCCTCTTAAATCCCACTTTTCCATCACTCCATTCTGTCATAAATCCTCTCCTCTTCCCCTCTCAAAGTTCCAGCTTTTCCCACTAAGAAAATCCAATCTTGGCCACTCCATTTATTCGCTGAGCAAATTTCCAGCCTTTTTTGCGCCCAATTCCATTGGGAGATGGAGAAGTAGATTTTAGCGCAAAAAAAATCAGGTTTTTTTGGCACCCGATTTTGGTTGGGAGAGCTCGCCGGAGATCCGCCATTTGAGGTAAGGCGAGGAGCTCTCTCTCCCATGTCGGACTCGGAGCTGTCGCAGAGCACGGTGGTGTTCGGGCTCCACCTGTGGGAGCTCGTCGGCATCGGCGTCGGCGCGGCGTTCGTGCTCCTCCTCGTCCTCCTCTCGCTGCTCTGCCTCGTCGCCTCACGCCGCCGCCGCCGGCGGCGAGGGGTCGCCGTGGCGACCCCCGTGCTCCACCTCGCCACCGCCGTCGCGCCGCCCAAGCACCCCGGCAAGCCGCCCAAGGACATCCAGGAGGTGCCCTCCCGCGCCGCCGCCGCCGCCGCGGCGCCCAAGGCGCAGCCGGCGCAGGTAATCCAGGCGCCGCCGCCGCAGCCGCCGCCGTCGGAATCCATCCAGATCGAGACGGGCAAGGAGCACCGCATCACGTTCCGGGAGCAGCAGCATCAGCCGCCGCAGCCGCCGCCCTACCACCAGCGGAGCGGGGGCCCCTCGTCGCGCGGCGGCAGCGGGGAGAGCCGCGGCGGCGGCGGTGGCGGCGGCGGCGGCGGCGCGGAGCCCGGCGTGCCCGAGGTGTCCCACCTCGGGTGGGGCCACTGGTACACGCTCAAGGAGCTGGAGGACGCGACGGCCATGTTCGCCGACGAGAAGGTGATCGGCGAGGGCGGCTACGGCATCGTGTACCACGGCGTGCTCGAGGACGGCACGCAGGTCGCCGTCAAGAACCTGCTCAACAACAGGTAGTACCTACCACTCTTACCACCTGCTGCTGCTGCTGCTGCTGCTTCCCATGAACTCAAGCATAATAGGGCAAAATGCAGCAGCGTGCGTGTCGAATTGGGTCTCTTTTTTAAGAATGCGTAGGTTCAAGGTTAAGCATTAAGGAAAGGCTTGCTTAGTTTCGTGAGGGCATTAAGCATTACTTGAATGGAGATGTTGACAATTGTAGATGGTGACATTTTTGCTGAGAACTTGGGTAGTAGAGACGATCATGTCGTGTTCCGCACTGAACATTTTCTTATGGTTCACATGCTCTGTGTGGAAGCTGTCGATTTTAGAGGCCGAAATATATGTCGCGTGTGACGTGTGTTGGTTCGTTCTAGTGCTCTCTCTCTGTTGCCAAATTTAGTAAAATTTTGATGCTTGCTTTGTTAGGGGGCAGGCAGAGAGGGAGTTCAAGGTTGAGGTGGAAGCGATTGGGCGGGTGCGGCACAAGAACCTGGTTCGGCTGCTGGGATACTGCGCCGAGGGTAACCAAAGGTACCTTGAAATCAATGGATTCTATGACTGAGTAGCTTGCAATGTATAATATTTTCTGTACGAATCCTTTTCAGGATGCTTGTGTACGAGTATGTCAATAATGGAAACTTAGAGCAATGGCTCCATGGTGATGTTGGTCCCGTAAGCCCTCTCACATGGGATATGAGAATGAAGATTATACTAGGAACAGCAAAAGGGTATGCATCTTTCAGTTCATTACCGTAGACTATAGACATATTGGTAACATTATTTACATTGTGCAGCTTAATGTATCTGCATGAGGGACTTGAGCCAAAGGTGGTTCATCGTGATGTCAAGTCGAGCAACATCCTCCTTGACAAGACCTGGAATGCTAAGCTTTCTGATTTTGGGCTAGCAAAGCTTTTGGGCTCAGAGAGGAGTTATGTAACAACCAGAGTTATGGGGACATTTGGGTTAGAAATTAGCACCCTTGTAATGTGATAATTGTACAAGACACATGAATATTTTGCTTATGCATCTTTTGTTCTTTGCAGGTACGTAGCTCCAGAGTATGCTGGTACTGGCATGTTAAATGAAACTAGTGATGTCTATAGTTTTGGAATTCTTATCATGGAAATAATATCTGGTCGGGTACCAGTGGATTACAACAGACCACCAGGGGAGGTTAGTTATTGTTTGCCTTGTTATAAGGATTCTAAATTAAGATCTTGTCGAATGCATCTATGAAATCAGCACATTAATCCTTTCAGGTTAATCTTGTTGAATGGCTGAAGACAATGGTGAGCAACCGAAACTCTGAAGGGGTTTTGGATCCAAAGATGACTGAGAAGCCTACTTCTAGGGCACTGAAGAAGGCTTTGTTAGTAGCTCTGCGATGTGTAGACCCAGAAGCCCGTAAGAGGCCAAAGATTGGGCATGTCATTCACATGCTTGAAGTTGATGATTTTCCCTACAGAGATGTAAGTTAACGTGGCATGTGGCTCCTTTTGTCTTATGTTCAGTACCCATCATTTTATATAGTGAAAATTGTGAGCATCATTTGCAATGCTTGTGTGGCCCCTAATTCCTCTCGCACAGTTATTTCCAAGGAAAAAATGACATCGTAGTGACCATGTTGAGTTCTGTACACACTATTTAGTTTTAGATTATTATACCAACCCATTTTTGTTTTTCACATATTTTTGAATGTCACCTTTTGGTTCATTGCTGTATTGGTGACTGTTTTTCTTGGACAACGGAAAACATGGTTCCAAAATCTTCATTCCCCAATTTTGAAATGCCCCATCATTCTCCCTGTAAATTATGCATATGAATGACGTGTTCCAAGTCAGTCTTTAAGAAATGACCAAAAAATATTTATTATAATGTGCTTAAATTCCATTTTTAATCTTTTCTGAAAAACAAAAGGCAGGAGCTTTGCCTATATATTAGTAGAGCAGGGAAAAATTCCACTTTTTAGTTGTTGTTATCGCACTGAAATCGTGTACATTATAAACATATATTGTTGTCACTCCTTTTGCCAGGAACGTCGCGGTGGCAAAGCTCCAGGTCAAGTGAAATCGGGAGAAATACCGCCAGTTGAAGCTGGTGATAGCAGCGGGAACAATACGCCAAAAGAAACACCAAAAGGTCAACCGAAAGATGAACCTTTCAAGTGGAGAAATCAAGCGGCGGCCTAGCTATTAGCAAGATGGTGATTCTTCTGAATTCAGTAAGACGACGATTTTTCTGAATTCTTACACCTGATCAAGAAACCGAATGCCGCAAACTTGCAAACAGCTCATTTGCTGCTCGTTAGTTGGGTTGGGGCACGGAAACATGGAACGCGCCGAGATCGTGAGAGCATCTGTACATTATTGGGTTAGTATGTTAGCCATAGCGATTTTTTGGTTGGTTTATTTGGTTATATTTATGTACTAAGTGATAATTCTTGTATGACAAATTCATGTTACTCTTGAGGTAAAAGTTGATGAGCGGTGCTTAGATAAAACCTTCCATGTAGCAATATATCCCCCAAATGCCAGTTTGCTCATCAGTCATCATACAATGCTCAGTTTCTTATACTTTTGAGATCCATACTTGTCACCTAAATTGTGATGATTCAATATACCAGACTGAATCCTCAGGTGTGTGCCCACATTTCTTTTTCCTGTATGTAACAAAATGAAATGAGCAGCACTACAGTAGTCTGAATTTTGCTGTTTCATCAACCTGGAGAAGAAAAGGAAAGGCTTGGTTGTCACATGATGGAGCCTCAATGACCTACCTCTGGACACTGATAGCACACACAATCACTCATTATTTAGCAAAGCTTGATAAGCCAGCAAGCTTAATTAAGTAGCCACTGATTGATTGCCCCCCCTGCTACTCAGATCTTCTCCAGAGACTCCAGAGTGGCATCCAGCTCCAGGCAAGCTCACCAGCAGCAAGCAAGAACCCAGACAGACATGCAGTGCCTACTACTCCTAGTACTCCCTCGTCCCAAAATAAATATAGTTTTGTATTGTTTATATCAAACATTTGACCGTTCATCTTATTTGATTTTTTTTATGATTAGTAATTTTTATTAGATGATAAAATATAAATAATTCTTTATGTGTGACTAATTATTTTAAATTATTTTATAATTTTTTTAAATAAAACGAACAGTTAAACATTGGACACGGATATGTACAGCTACACTTATTTTGTAACGGAGGTAGTAGTACTACCTGACTGGAAATGCAGGTGACAGTCGGTTAACAGATGGCATCCGGGGGCAAGTAGTATTAGCGTGAGGTAATCCGGATTAGTAGCAGATGTGATGTGACACGAGGCGACAGCGACCAACAAACGGACCAGGCTAGGCTACGTTGGATGGTTTTTGCGGATGATGAAAAGGATCTGGATGGACGGTAGGCTGGTGGTGGATAGTGGTAGCAGTAGCAGTTGTAAGCTGGGGGCCCTAGTGAAAGCTCAGCTTCGCCTACGCCTCCGGTGGCGGTGGCCGTACCGTCCGTGATGCCTTCTTTCCCTCGTGTGGCCGCCGGCCGGCGCCGACGGCGAGGGGGAGTTGCTTTCCGGGCATCTGTTGCTGCATCATTCCTCTTTGTCGTGTTCCTCTCTAGCTCGAGACTGAGGCTGAGTTCGTTTCAGCTTTTTGAAACACTACTTCCTTGTTCTCTAACGAACATACTTCCTAAACTACTAAATGATATTTTTTAAATAAATAAATATAAATTTTAAATTTATATACTCGGGTAATTAATTTTATATTTTTAAAAGGAAGAATTATTTTAGTGTCGGGTACTTGGGTTGTACTGACACTTCAATGCTGCAGCTTGTAAAAGTCTGAATAACAGAGCGGTTTTCCATGGTCTGTGAATAATGAATGAATAGTATTTGCTTTTAAAACCCAGTTGTTCCTCAAACCATCATTGAAATGTCCGTGGTTTTTTTTTCAACAAAAAATATATTTCTTCCAAATATGAAGCTACTAGCTATCCAGTTTAGAGCTTGTCGGTACAGTGGTATCTAAGCAATGCAACCAATTTTAGTTTGTTTTTAGATTGGTACTATAGCTTCGGCCCAACTTCTCACAAAAAAAAAGGAATAAGTTTACCGGAGGTCCCTCAACTTAACAGCGATATTTTTTGAGATCACTTAACCACAAAACCAGAAATGTGTACCCCAAAACTCAATCAAACCGTGCACTCAAGGTCCTATGGTAGTATATATGGGTGATTTCGCTGACGTGGCATCCTAGTCAGCAAAAAAAAATTAAAAAGTATATGGGGCCCACATGTCAGCTGCACATTTTATTTTCTTCTCCTTCTCCTCTCTCTTCTCATCTTCAGTGAAGGAGGCCAGCGGTGGGCGGAGCGGCGGCGGTCGAGCACAGCGACGGGTAGAGCAGCGGTGGGCAAGCGCGTCAGCGGAGCGGCGGGGGGCTACGGGCGTGCACGACGGCTAGTAGAGCAGCGGGGGGCGAGCGCGGCGGCGGTGAACTACATCTCCAAGAGGGGGGGTGGAGGAGGCCACCGGTGCCGTGTGGTGCACGGTCACCCCGACCGCAACCCGTCCTTGTCATGGTCCTCCCCTTCATCGACAAGCCTCCTGAAGTCGAGGTCCATCTCGAGGAGCTCCCCCGTGCTCAGCCACCACCACCGCCCGTGCCCCCGCGAGTGGCTCATGATGCTAGGAGCGGCACCACCAGCGGGAGAAGGGGAAGAGGCAGAGGAGGAGATGATTTCTTGGTCACTGATTGCCTCCCTCGCATGCAAGCTAGGCGAGCTCGGACGGGCTCGCCGGCCGCCTCCCCTTCCCTCCCAATCTGCTTCGCCCGCGGCCTGCATCCACGCTCGCCCATCGCCGGCCTCCCTCATTGAAGATGAGAAGAGATAAGAGAGAGAAAAGAGAAGGAGAAGAATAGAGAATGTGCAGCTGACATGTGGGCCCCATGTACTTTTTTATTTTTTTTGCTGACTATGATGCCACGTCAGCGAAACCACCCATATATATACTGTCATAGGACCTTGAGTGCGCGGTTTGTGTGAGTTTATGGGTACACATTTATGGTTTTGTGGTTAAGGGACCTCAAAAAATCTCGTTGTTAAGTTGAGGGACCTCCGGTGAACTTATTCATCAAAAAAAGATCACTAGGTCCAACAAATCTGACAGACAGACCTTGCAAAGGCCCATTAAAGCACAATTAACTGGGCCTGAAAAGCCCAGCCCGTCCACTCTGACGATTCTACCCCTCTAACCCTACACCGGCCAGCGACTATATAAAAGCGGACCCGTCTCGAGCCGCTAGGGTTCTTCGATTTCTCCCTCGCGCCGCCGCCTCCTCCTCACCCTCCCCGCCCCAGGCGCACCCTACGCTTGGAGCTCGTCCGATCCGCTCGGCGCCCGCCATGGTAAACGCGCGAAGCTCTGAATCCATCCTCTGTTCCTCGCGGTCTCGCGTGCGTGCCGTGCTGCTTGCTGGTTGATGCTAATCTCCTCACTCGCGTTTCGCCTGTTTGTTGTTGCAGATCATCCCGAAGAAGAACCGCAATGAGATCTGCAAGTACCTCTTCCAAGGTCAGTGGTTCTTGGTCCCTATTTGCACCTCGTAATCGTACTAGAGGCGTAGAGCCGCCGCCATGTTTAGTGGAGATTGTTGTTTTAGGTTTGCAAAACGAGGAGATTCGTGTTGCTCCGTACAGGAGCACGGTTCTTAGTGCAGGAACTGCCCTCTTGTTAAAAGGAGAAGCTTGGTTTAGATGTAGGATTTGATATGCTAGTGATAATTTTTCATTCTAGGAACCCAATGAACTATTGGTTATATACTAGCGAAATCTGTGCACCCATGAACATCAACTTAAATTGATTGTTTCGGTCCTGGTGTTGTGAAAATCTGTGTGTAAAAATTTCAAGAAAAATGATATCGCTGTTGGTGTATGTCAGTACAGCGTTCGCATGCCAAGAGGCTCAAACTGAAAGTGATTGTAGGTGCTGGTTTTAACTTGGTGTATGCTGTTGTTGCAGAGGGAGTGCTGTATGCCAAGAAGGACTACAACCTGGCGAAGCACCCGCAGATCGATGTGCCGAACCTGCAGGTGATCAAGCTCATGCAGAGCTTCAAGTCCAAGGAGTACGTCAGGGAGACCTTCTCCTGGCAGTACTACTACTGGTACCTCACCAACGATGGCATTGAGCACCTGCGCAACTACCTTAACCTGCCATCTGAGATTGTGCCTGCCACACTCAAGAAGTCTGCCAGGCCACCTGGCCGCCCATTTGGTTCTGGCCCACCTGGCGACCGCCCAAGGTATACATATTCTCGTGATGCTCCCTTCAAGTGCATGCAATTTGGCATATACTATAATGTGCTTAGTGAACATGGGGCCTGTGTCACCATTTCACCATGATCATATAACACTTATATTTCTACAAATGATTCAAATGGGAAGGAGAAAATTATGGCTATAAATGTCTGATATTATTCCTGTATTAGATTTATCGTTAAGAATCTAGCTTGTAGCTTTTGAGATGGGAGTAGTGAGATTCTGTGGGCAGAGCAGTGGAGCTTTTTAGCATGTCAGCACGTTTGTTGCATAAAATTGTCCTTCAAGAAATATGTTGCTCTCATTTTGGTAGAGGTGTTGATCGTTTTCATCTGACCACAGGGCTTCTGCTTTAGGGTGAAGCTTGTAATTTTCTGTGCATTGTTCATAATGTTCTTGCTTTAGGCTGCAGCTTTTGCTTGTACAGTGCTTTCTAAGCTTGTGTATAAATAAGATAGGATTAGAATGATAAATGTATTCAAGATGTGTTGATGTGGTTTGGTTTAAGTTAATCTGTTCATAGTCTTTCCTGATTTAATGGAGGCTGATTCTATACTGTTGATTCTCTTTGCGATGTATGTAGGGGCCCGCCTCGCTTTGAAGGGGACAGGCCAAGGTTTGGTGACAGAGATGGGTACCGTGGTGGTCCTCGTGGTGCTCCTGGTGACTTTGGTGGTGAGAAGGGTGGAGCTCCTGCTGAGTTCCAGCCATCCTTTAGGGTAATCAACTACTTTCCCTACAAGTGTTTCATTATTGTTCTGTTGTGTCATGTAGCTTATTTGACTTGTTACGCTGAATACAAGACAAGCAAAATCCATTTTTGTACTGCCTATGATGAATTTATATTTGGATTTACCATCAACTTAAAAGTTCTAGCAGAATTAACTTGTCTTTTTTACTCGTAGTTGTATGCTACATCCGAGATGCCTATATATTTGATGTTGTTCGTTCATGTCTTCTTGGCCTGAAAAAACGAACTATTGCAGTTCCACATAATGTTTGGGTGGGATTTAGCGAGGTTCATATTTTTCTTTTGTGTAGAAGTTTTGAACAACCTTGTGATTTTGCTTGTCGAAGGCCCTGTGCACTATGCATACCCTGTTTGTTTTAAACAAGATTTTGTATTTCCTGTTCTGATATTTAGCTAATATATTGATAGTTCAGTTGATTTGATGACATCAATGATTTTGGCTTATATTTACCACCATAAAATTTTGCAGAGCTCTGGTGGCAGACCTGGCTTTGGCCGTGGTGGTGGCGGAGGCTTTGGCGCTGGCCCGACCTCTTCCTCGATGGAGTGAACTTCCCGTAGTTTGGATATGATGTTTTCCTTCGCATGAGGCGTTTAATTTTGAAGGACAGTTAAATTATGTAGCAGTGATGTTTGCAGGATCGACCGCTGTTGACATATGCTAAAAATATGCTATCTTGATACCTTCCAGTATAATAGTTTTTGCGAACGCTTAAGTTCAATGTTAATGCTTTTGACATATTGGCGGAAATTATCTTTTGCTTCTGAAAAAAAGAATTATGTGCATGTTTGATTGCTGGCTGCGTGAAATAGTGATATGATATCTGTATGCAAGTTTTTGATGGAAGTACGTGTTTTTGATGTGCTCATTCATCGGAGCTTGCATGTCTTGCGTACAATGAGTACAAACAAATTCTTGATCGATTACAATGTAGACCCAACCAATCAGGTATCCAAAACTCTTGCGAATGTTTGATGTACAATGTAAAGCGGGATCTAATCTGTTTCTGGGAGGCAGATGCAATCTATGTACAGCAAAATTTGGGGGGAAAGGATGCGGTGGTGATGCTTGGTGTTTCTGCCATGTTCTCTCAAAGGCTCAAGAGTAGAGCAGCCAGCGTAGATGGCACCAGTATGATGAGCTGCTGCCATTGCAACGTCGCCGTCGGCGGCCGCAGCAACGCCGTGGCGCCCGATGTCGCGTTAAAGATGCCTTTGGGCGTGCCGCCGTGCCGAGCGGTCGTGCATGTACCATTGCCCTGCACAAGCAAACACGTTTCAATCTTTTTTTTCAAGTCAGATTTGAATTATGATCATTAGTTTAGCAATGTGCAGTGCTGGAATTCAATCTTGCATTGCAACAGAAATCTTAACGAGGTTTCTGCAGCGAGGCATTACACTGCAAGCAGAGACGCTCCCACACCCACAGACCAGTCCGCCGTTGGCCCTGTCCGTGGCTTCAGCCGCACCACCTCGATCACTTCTCTGCATTGTTTTCGCAAACAAGTCCAGAATTCAAAGCCTCTTTTAAAACTAGCACAAGCAGTTTCTAATCCATATTCATGATGCAGTATCAGACCTTGTAGAAATCGACGGCGATGAAATTGGCCCATCTGTCCGCGGACAGGTCATGGCAGGTGGTGAGCATGTCGAGCAGCTCCGCCGAGTTGTCCTTGCAGGCCACCGGGAAATTCGGTAGGTCCCTGAAGTAGTTCACCAGCACCAGCGACCTCGAGAGGTCGTTCATGGCGGCCGACTCCGCGCGGTTCGGGCACCTCCCCTTGATCATCCCCTTCGTCCCATCTGCACCCACACGCACACGCACACGCACACCATCGTCAAAGGAAAACCCAAACCGCAAAATCCTCCACGATCAAAGTCACGTGACTTTATCAGTGACACGTGGGTCAATGAGATCCTGACTCCACGTGTCAATGACAAAATCATTGTGACTTCAAAGTCAAAAAAAACATGATCTCATTGGTGTTACTTAGGATCAGTTTGACACAGTTACAGCTCCACATCTCCTGAAGCTGGAGCTCGGTCAAATGGTTTCAGCTTCATCTAAAATAGGAGTGGGGCTAAGTAGAGTACTCTCATAAAATAGAGAGGTGGAGTTGGGTTTACGAAGCTTCACAACTCTAGTCCATACCTAACTTCTGAAGCTAAATTTAGAAGTGGAAGATGTACGCCCTTACACTGGTTTTCGACGACGTAGTGCCACTCGTAGGGGATGCCCTCTGCGGCCTCCTTGGCGGACTTGGAGGTGAAGAGGAGGAGGCGGTGGTTGTCGCGGACCATGTCGCTGAGCCGCGGCCAGTCGCCGCCGCTCTTGGGCATCCGCCACGCCGGGAACACGTACTTTGTCAGGCCGGAGGCGTTGAGGACGCGGGTGAGCCCCATGGGCGACTCCACGTAGTCCTCCACGAACACCGTCACCACCTCCGACGGGTTCCGTGCCAAGAACCGCTCGATCTCGCCCAGCACCTCCACCGCCGGCACCTGCTCGAATTAAAACACATTGATCAGATCAAAAGCTCTCGTGTTCGTCAGATTCATCGGGAATTCAGAGGCGATTGTACACGTAATCATGTGTGCCTTACGAATGCGGTGAAGTTCTGGCAGGCGCCGCCGAAGGAGTGGCAGAGCCAGATGTCGTTGCGGAAGTCGTACATGTCCAGCATCAGTCCTCGCACGCCGTTCTGCACGCGTGACGTGTTGATGAATAGCGAGAAAGGCAGAAAGCTTTGGCATGTTAATCTCATCGATTTGATCGTTGTTTGACATGTGTAAATTCAGTGTAATCTTGAATACTCTCCCTGATGTTTGTGACGGATCACGGAATCAATGATGGGTTGATTAAAATCCGGGTTTAAGTGGCTGTCAGTGACAGAGGGCGATTGAAATTGAAAGTGGGAGAGAGACGGGACGGGCACGGGACGGGACGGAACGGCAAGAATGGAATGGACGTGCCACCCGACCGTATCCCCCTGCGCCACAAGGGTACAAATCACGGGGGCACACGACGCGACGATGGGAAATTCGGCAAGGTGGACAGCCATGGAAGAACTGACCAGCAATCTGCGTTGGCGCCACACACGCGGGCGAACGGCGAACCTCCCGTGTCGTCTTCCGTGCCCCCACGTACACGCCCCGGTGCCTTTCACGCAAGCGGAGACGGCGCCGCAGCGTGCGCGCGCGCGCGAGGCCGTGCACGCGAACGCGCCAGGGTGCGACATGGGGGTTGTGGCGCGCCGGACTGACACCTGTTGCGTCCGGGGGACACCTGCCCCTGCTGTTGTGGTTGTGGGGTCTAATTATTGGGTTTGTGTGGGGCCCGCGCATCCGACGTGGCGCGCGGCGTGTCAGGAACGAACGGCCGGAAACGAGGACGACGGCGAGGAGGATTGGGAAGTGCGAACGAAAGGAAAGGACTTACGTTGAGCTGGTCGGTGATGGTGTCCTGCTGGTTCCAGGCCGTGGCGATGGCCGTCCCCGTCCGCGACCGCGTGCCGAGCCGCGCGAACGAGTTGTGCGTCGTCAGCCACGCGTACCGGTTGAACGGCAGGTCCCGCGCCTGCACAGCACACAAACCGCCGGAATTTGGATGCGGTCAGTCAGCGCCGCCGCGCACTCGGAGAGGAAGAAACCAAACCGCGACGTCAATTACCTACCTTGGTCTGCGGGTCGACGGGGGTGACGCGGGTGCAGCGCGGGCGGACGTTGCCGTCGGCCACGCACGTCTCGCAGTGCAGCCCGGCGTCGCAGTTCCGGTCCGCCGCGCACGTCTCCCCCACCTGCAACGTACGCACACGTACACCCTCCATTTTAACCCACCAATTCCCCCCTCCAACTAATTAAACAGCGCGCGTACCGCGTACGTACCTTCCGTGCCGACACGACCAGCAGCAGCGCGGCGGCCGCGACGGCGAACAGGAGGACCCTCACACCCGGCGCCGGCGCCTCCTGCCACTTCGCAGCCATCTCCTCCTCACCCCTCTCCCTCTGCGCGCTCTCTGCTCTTGATGCGTATGATGCGCGGTTGGTGCTCTCCCAGTGCTGTAGACGTCAAGCAACGGGGCAGCAGCCGCAGCAAGCAGAATCAAGGCAAGTGGCGGAATATTTGCCCCCCTGTCTCTCAAGGTATTGGATGGCCTTGTCGTTGTGTTGTGTGTGGCTTTGTATCGTAAATCGTAATTCGTGGGCGGCGTCGCCGTCACCTGCTTACGTACGCGGCAATGCGGGCGTTCACTCACGCACGCACACGCGCCCCCCATCCGCTTCGTCTTTCCGCCTCGCGCACCTTGTGACATGGTGCGCGTTTGAGGAGGAAGAGTGAGGGGGGACCGGTGGTGGTGGTACGGACGTCGAGGCAGAGCAGTGACCGTTTCGGTGGTCCGGCCGGCCTCTGTCGTAGGAGCTAACACGGTTTGAATTTGGCAAAAACTGCTGGAGACCACGGCTTGATTTTTTTTTGCCATTTTCTCGCGTGATGACACGTTCTTTAAACAAAAATAATTTGGCTATAATTATGAGCCGTATTAATATAATGTGGAGAGTTTCATCGGCTAACTAACGACGAGTTCAGACAGATCATTCTTGGTGGAATAGGTGATGGAGAGAGAGAAATGGTGCCAATATACATGCACGCATCTCGCCGATGACAAAAGACGACTTCTGTATGTACTACTGGTAGTATATGTATAGTCTTTATCTCGCAGCTGGCAAAGGCTTGATCTGGTATATCCGTTATCTGTTGCAATTCAAACGACATGTTTCCGACTTAATTTCAGTAGACCACTTCTGAATCCCAACTTTTCTGTGTCCGGAATTGTCCATTCAGAACTGAACCTGAACATGAAGAAAGACGTTTGCGATACCTGTCTGGTTCTAGCCTTGTCCACAACCGAAAGAAAAAGCCTCGATCGTCAGATTCTCTCTTTCATGTTCCTGCAAAATATGCACAACAGGTACCACACTGAAATTATGATGTGCCTACACAGGGACAAAACACACTCATACTGGCAGAGTCTTGAAATATGTACACGAATTGTCTAGTATTTGAAACATGTGGCCATCTCAGCCACTCGAGTGGATTATATTTGTAGGACGCAGTGTACTTAATCTCCCATTCATCATTCAAGGAGTCAATTACGGAATTCCTTCAGAGACATAGTCAATTATCATACATATCAGGAAGTTAGTTGCTGGCTGATAGCTAGAATAATCATTAATCATCAATCTAATGACCAAGTACATGCATCATGCATCCACATCACAAACTTCTCTTTAAAAAAAAAAGAAGCATACATACAAACATGAAACATGCTTGCGGTGGTTAGTCCACTTGGGCGTAGACTAAAAACGGTGTTCATTTTTGCGTCAGTTATATGACTATCTTCCAAATATACATTGACCGTCTGAATGTGCACACATGGGTATTAGTGGGTTTGGTACTAGTTGTTACTCAAGACAAGCTTTAATACTCAACACGTTTTAGCAAAACACGCATTTTGTCAAGTGAAGACTGAAGATGATGAAGGATGAAGCAAGCAGAGGTTGAAGAAGCCTTAAAGGCCTAACAAAAGCCCAGCTTTACATGATGAAAGCCCACATAAAAGAGCATACAAAAATGTCAACTTGTGGGCTTACCAGCTTTACATAGAGACAGCACTGGAGGACCTCTGGTGCAAGTTGCGTTTGGCAAAATGAGAGAAAGCTCCAGCCTCCAGCTAGTAGAGAAATATACTTTGGAGTTTGGACAATACCTTGTGGTGTGGCGAGAGAAAAGCTGGGGAGCTCTTCAGAGAGGAAACAGACATGTCTCTGCTTGTGTGGCACAACTTTTGAAGTTCTCTTTCTCGGCATGGCCTTTTTGGGGGTATGGTAGCTTATGGCGAAGCTGCGTTTGCCCGTGAGAAACTTCCCAGGTAGAAAACAACAATGGCGCCAGGACAAGTATAGATGCTAGCAAGTGATACTGTCTGCATGCTGTTTGCTATACATTATTGTACTAGGATTAGACAAGAAGATGTTAGAGTAGAGTGGTCAAACACCAGGCATACTAGTATCACTGCGTGCATTGACATGCATGTATGAATGGATGTACCTGTGCTGCCGGTCCTGTGAAACAGAACAACTGCAGTCATCTGTTTGTGCTACATGAGCCATGAGTGTTCACCTAGGATTCCCCTTAAACTTTGCAGCAGTAATGATGCAGGAGAGCTGATCAGTGACCAGTTTTCCTGACATGTTTTTAGTCCGATTAGGTTACGATTGATGAGTACTTCCTCCCCAAGTCCCCATCTCATTTTAAATCTAGCCACGAGTTTCTGTGTCCAACAATAGAACGGAGGGAGCACATGGTAAATGTGTGGTGTTCTTTCCCTGTGTCAGTTCAACACCCCCCTCCTCCCCTCCCCCCCCCCAAAAAAAAACCAAACAAAATTTTTCAAAAAAATTATTTTTCTTTTGAACTCGTCTGAAGATTGGTGCACACCCTCCGTTCCATTTCATATTACAAGTCATTTTAATTTTTTCTTAGTTTATTAAAAAATGGTATATATCTACAACACCAAATTAGTTCCATTAAAGTTAACCTATAATATATTTCAATAATATGTTTGTTTTATATGCTTTTCTATAAATTTAATCAAGCTTAAAAAATAACTAGAAAAATATGTCTAAACGACTTCTAATATATAATCAGGGTGTAACGGTTACCATGCCATACGCCGAGCAGGAGCCAGGAGGAGCATATCTGACCGAAGCGGAGCAGCCAAAGAAAAACCAACGCAGAGCAAGAGAGCTGCACTGCCGCGTACAGTACGCTGCAGCCAGCCAGCCAAGCCAGCCGCGGCCTGGGCCTCGGAGACGGCGCCGTGCGCGCGCGTCGGCGTCGCTCCCCGTATTTTGTTCACTTGTTGTTTGGTCGCGCTTGTCCGGTCCACGCCATCTGGCACATTGGCATGTGCCACCCTCACCCTCACGGCCTCACCCACCCTATCCGTGGGGCGTCGCGTCGCGCCTCCCCTTCGCCCTCGCCCTCGCGGTTCTCGCGTACGCCCGCGCCACGGCCACGGGAGGGAAAACCACCCGTGAGCCGGTGTGACGCAGCCGCGCGCGAGGCGCGACGCGAGTGTGCGTGACCCCGACCCGGCCGCGCGACGCGAGGCGAGGGAAAAGACAGGAGAGAAAAGGCGCCGCGCCGCGAGAGCCCCCGCGACCCGCAAAGCGGAAAAGCGCAGCGCGCGCGCGCGCGGCGAGACATATCGGCGTATCGCGTTGGCGTCGCGGTGCAGCGCAGCGGAGGCGTTGGCTTTGGCAGTTTGGCTAGGCTGGCACCCTTCCCGTTCGTCCAAATTCCTCTCGCCCTCCCCGACAAACCACCCTTTTTCCACCAAGCACTCCAAGCATCCCACTCCACTCTCCGCTCCGCCACCTCCTTGCGCTGCTCTCGCTGGTACGGAGGAGGATGCGGCGCAGGCTCCTCGCGCTGCTGCTGGTGGTGGCGGCGCTCCCGCTGCTCCCGGCGGCGATCGCGGCAGGTGAGCTCTTTTGTACTACTTTTTAATGGCGGGGCTCCTCCTCTTCTTCCCTTCACCGTGTCACAGGTTCCCTTCTCTGGGTCGCCGCCGCCGCCGGAATCCCGCTGCTGGCTCCTCTCTCTCATCGAGCGATGATCTCCGCGACTGGAGCGGCCTTGGCTGGTCGCCGCGGCGGAGCTGTTGCGACTTGCGCAAGTAGCGCCAGCAGCCGCGCACGTCGCTCGAGAAGCGATTTTTTTTTATATCTTATTTTAATTATTATTCAGGCGTCGATTCCGCTTCTAGTTTCAACCATTCCCCGCGATTTTTCGTCACCATTCTACTCCGATTACTGCATTGTAGAACCACATTTTTGTCATGCGAGAGTTGATTAATTAGAGCTTTTTTTTTTTTTGGGGGGGGGGGGAGGGGCTGATTTCACCGGTGGTTATTATCCCTCGCCGGAGAGCAATCCCTAACCACAAAATGGCACGAACAGCATGCATCGTCTTCCTGCTTCCTGCAGCGTTCGTCAGCCGATGCCGGTAAAGGGGACTGTACTACTCGCAATGGGGGTTGACGGGTTGTCACGCCATTGAATTCCCCTCACCTAATGGGGCTCACTCACTCACTGATGAACACTGTACAATCAGAGTGTGGGTGGTGGTGGTGGCTTGGCTTTGCATTTCGTTCGTGTTCCAGGGCTCCTCCCCACGCTCGCCGTACCATTTGGATTTAGCTGGCCGGTGAGGAAGGTCCCGGGTCCTGGCAATTTGGTAGTGTTATTGGATCACTTATTAGATCGGCTTGATCGTGCAGTCTTACCTGATGTTCCCTTCCGCATCACATGGGTTGTTCTTGACTTCTTGTGTTGTGTGTGCCGTGCTAGGCTACTGGTGTACGGTACGGTGTAGCAGAATCGGTTGGGTTAATGAAGTTTTTGATACACTCTCCCCCCTTGTATGGAAGTACAAGTACGCCACATTCTGCTGGTAGTTCTTATTAAATGTGGGGGGTAAATGGAGATTTGGGAATTGATGGCAAGTGATCAAATGGAAGGATAATGTGCTAGTACTGGTCATGTGATCTGGTCCTGGCGGTACTGATTTCATTTCCTGTTAATAAGTAATGATCATGATTGATGGCGTAGATAGCTAGCATTGGCTACCTGCAGAGCATTACATGTTTTGCACTTCCTGTGTAATATTACTGGTTTTAGTAGATATGCAGCAGAGTGATGAGGCTGACCTTCAGATGCTATTCAATTTACGCCAATAGATGGGTAATGTGCTAGTGCTAGTACTGGTCACGTGGTCCGTTCGTGGTGGTACCGATTTCATTTTTTGCTATACATATGATCGTGATTGATGGCATTGGTATAGATTTCGAGCATTGGCTATCTGCATTGCATTACACATTTTGCTGTTTCTGTTAATGTTCCCGATTTTAGTAAATATATATACAGAATGGTGGGGCTGCATGTTAACTTTGTGGTATGTGTTGTATACTATTGCATGATCTTTATAATTTCTTTGTTGACATGCAGAGTGTCCGTTGGATTTGAGTTGGCCAAACTATGAACTGATGGCTTCTGTATGCTCGGATGAAAATGGACACTCAAAATGTTGCCGTTACATCAATGCTATTATTGCGGTCTCGTCTGCCATGTATGCAAATACGACAGGCATTCTTGGGGTCCCAGCCGAAATTTCTGATGCTTGCATTGGCAACATCTCTGACACATTGGTATCAAAGGGAATTCTGCCTACCGCCGCTTCATTTTGTGGCCTTGGGATCAAAATTCAAGTTTCCTATCAATGTATTGGGATGACTACCGTCCTCCAGATGTTACAGTCTCCGAATTTCAGTGATGTCACTAGGAGCTGTGCAACTCTACTTTCAGATGATGTCAGTTGCAAGAGGTGCTTAAACTCTGGTCTGTCATACCTCCGCCATCTTGTGGGAGAACAAGATAATGTCACATTGAATACCTGCCGTGATGCTGCCTTTGTTGCATTTGCGAGTCAAGGGAATATATCTACCGTTGATACGGCGAGTTGCTTTTTTAGCGTCCAGGGGCTTAGTGCTCTTCAAGGTTTGAATTCTGTACACAAATTATTTTTTATTTGATGACCTTGTTAATACAAACAATATCTTTTTCTTTAATAGAGAGCTTCACTTCCCATGTTGACTATTCGTATCTGTTATAGCCTTATAGGATATAACCTTTTTGACAATTTGTAGAGGCAAAAGCATTTTTCTTCTATTATGTTTCTAGTGCATTCCATTGTTCCACGTGATCTCCAGCTCATGTGTTCTGTTGACATTGCTTCGGATCCTGAGGAGCAATAGTAATAATGATATGCCATTTGACAACTTGTAGAAGCATGGGATTTTTTTTGTTTCATTAGGGCTAATGAATTACATAAGCTCCACATGATCTCCACAATTGTTCTTTGAAAAGCTTCATACATGCAGCATTGCTGTGCATGTCCATGCTCTCCTAATATATGCAATAATAGGTATATTAATCAGCACATGCTACTAAAATTTTCATTTATTAGAATCAACCATCAGCAGAAGCTATAATTTCATATCCTTATTGATGATAATATGTGTGGCGAAAATCTTGTCATATTAATGTTAAATCTTGTATTTGTTGGTAAGATGATACATTCCACCTAAAATATGATATGTTATCTTCTGTTATCAGTTTTTTCATTTACAATACAACATAATATGTTTGTGTAGAAATAAGTTAGGTCATTAGGTCTAGTAGAAGTGAAGTGGACCATTTGCTTGTTATTCTTCGATTCATCTTTCTCAAGGTTTGAGTCCACAATGTTTTAATAAGTGATGTATCTATGATGCAGTGAATATCTCCGTGCCATCCCCAGCTGGACTAATTGCACCGAATATTGCTCCCAGTCCACTTGCAATGCAAATTCCTGGGGAGCATGTTACTGGAGTGCTATCCAAGCATCATCGTAGTTACAAGCTTGCACTATTCCCTGCAATTGGGGCTTTGGTTACAGGATTAGCAGTTATACTAATGATAGTATTGATTTTACTCATCCGTAAAAAGAGTAGAGAATTAGAGAAGATTGAAGGAACTAACCCTCTTGATGCGTGGAGTTCCTGTTTGAAGAAGGGCCAAGAAGGTAATCATTTCATGAGCTATAGCTGTACTGACATTCATACATGAATATTTATTCATTTATTATATGGCTGGATGGTTTCTGTGTGTTCATGATGCTATATTGCACACCAGGTCTGTTATTTTAGGGCTAACTTCACATGAAATTTCTTAAAGCGTAATGGCTTTGCATTCCTATTCTCCTGTGGCTGTGGATATGTGCAATAGCAGTAAAACTGATTTATTAGTGTGGGGTTTACAACTTAGGAATTCATATGGTTAATTTGAATTTGATGAACTAACATTTGACAACTTGCATTACAACTAGAATCAGTTCTAAGACCCATCCAATTTATCTGCTTAACATGATATTTTTTCAGGTTCTTCCACCATTTTCGACAGATTTACTTACAGACAAATGAAGAAGGCAACAAGAAACTTTGGCACTGTGTTGGGAGGAGGTGAAAAGGGCACAATATTCAAAGGGAAACTGAGTGATGGTTCTGTGGTTGCTATAAGACGCATAGAAAGCTCGCCAAAACAAGGTCAGCTGGAATTTTGCAAAGAAATGGAACTTCTTGGGCGGCTGCACCATCGTCATCTTGTTGGACTTAAAGGCTTTTGTCTAACAAGATTTGAGAGGTAGAGTATGTTATACATATTTTTGGGTATCTAGAAATCCATGGTTCTTTACAGTTTCTTATTATCCAGGTTCCAGGTGTATGAATACATGGAAAATGGAAGCCTTAAGGATCACCTTCATTGTAATATTTTATTTTCACTCCCAATCGTTAGTCTCACACTGCATAATCTGGTGAATTGTGTGCATAAAAGCAATTTTCTCTTTGCAGCGTCAGGTAAACGTCTTCTACCATGGAAAAACAGGATCCAAATTGCCATTGATGTTGCAAATGCTTTGGTAAGTCCTGGAATCTGGATTCTGTATTAGCTCAAGTAGTACATATTTCGTAGACTTTTTTTTTGTACCAAAGCAACAATTGAATACTTGGTGTTAGGCCTATTAACCTGCTAAAAACTTGTTTCGCAAAAGAAAACCTGCTTAAAACACTTACGTTACTTAAGTACGTTATTTAAATGCTGACGAATAACTGCTACAACCAAATATTTTGCTCGCAGGAGTACCTTCATTTTTATTGTGATCCTCCATTGTGCCATGGGGACATAAAGCCTAGCAATGTCCTATTGGACAGAAACTATCTTGCCAAGGTACTTGACGTGAAACTTTCCTACAGTGAGAACAATTAATCCCTACTCTGCTGGCAGCAGATACTTGTTTTTGAATTAACAGGGCTGATCAAGATACTAATGGCTGGTTCATTTTCCATAGCTTGCCGTTTCTGGTCTTGTACAATGCTCAAATGGTGATAGTACCACCATCAGTTCCACCCTAGTGAACGTGAAGATCCCGGCAACTCCTGGTAAGTCCAACATCTGCCTTTTTGGTGTATTCTTCACCTTTGTCAGCATCATTTCCAACAAATCAAACACACAATACATGTTTGACATGACAATGGTTCAATTTGAAAACACACTTTCATCAAAAGTAGTGGAGCATGAACTTAAAGTTGGATAAAATTTTGGATACTCGTGGCACGCTTTTCAAACTGCTAAACGGTATGTTTTGTATGCTCTAAAGTATCAAATTAATATATTTTTCAAGTTTGTTATAATTAAAACCCAATCAATAATATATTAATATCATTTCGTATTACGTAAAACACTTAATCTTCGTCTTCGAAAAAAAAGAAGACCACCTTAGAAGCGATTTGAAATTTGATAGCAATAGTTTTGTGTGGTGCAGGCTACGTGGACCCTTGCTACGTGGTGAACCAGGTGGTGACGCCGAAGAGCGACGTGTACAGCTACGGCGTGCTGCTGCTGGAGCTGGTGACGGGGAAGCCCGTGGCGCAGGGCGACGACGATGGCAACGGCGACAGCAGCAGCAGGAGCAGCAGCAAGAACCTCGTGGAATGGTCGCGCGAGCTGATCGGCACGGACTACCGGCTGCACGAGCTGGTCGACCCGGCGGTGGCCGACGCGTTCGACCTGGACGAGCTGCAGGTGATGGCCGATGTGATCCACTGGTGCACCCACCGGGACGGCGCCGCGCGGCCGTCGATGAAGCAGGTGCTCCGCATCCTGTACGAGCGCCTGGACCCGCTCTCCGGCGGCCTCGCCCGCGCCGTCGCCGGCGAGGAAGGGTACTACTACGGCGGCTGGCAGAGCGGGCGGAAGGGGAAGGAGGGCGCGGAGATGCTGGCCGGCGGCGGCGGCGACGGTGGTCGGTGCCTGCCGTCGTCGTCGAGCACGTCCAGGTCGTACTGCAGCCGCAGCGTGCTGCTTGAGTGCAACTCGCCGGAGGAGGCGCCGCCCCAGTCGTCGCCGCGCGGCTTGCCGTGACACCGTGACACGCCATCTTTTTGTCGGTTGCATCGACAGATTTTGCAGGACACAACGTACAGTGAACAGTCGAAACACTGACTGAACTGAAAGAGAGATTTTTTTTTTCGTTTTTTTTTTTTTGGTGAGAGTGAGTGATGCAGCTGTGGCTGTCCAGCGAGGGAATGCACACAGCACACACAGGGATCCACCGATCCAGACATTCAGTGAGATGATGAAACTGATGAGGCAGGGGGGGGCCCAGGTGGCGGAGTGAGAGAAGGCCGGGCACGCGTGATGAAGAGGGCGATGTTTGTTCAGTTCCCTAGATGGAGTTGGTGGTTGTTCCACCTTCATTGTTCAGTCAGCATTGAAGAGCGTACTACGTCGGGAACATGGGCCATTCAATTCGTGCATGGAGGATGGATCCCTTCACTTGCCTTCCCTAGCTGCAGCCTGCAGCAGCTAGCAGCTCGAGTGGTACGCCCATCTCGCGCGCGGGTGGTCCATCCACCGGTGGCGCGCGGCGCCGACGCCGACGCCGACGCCGTGGGCGCGCGCGCTGCGCTGCGCTCGGAGTGGCATTGGCACAGCACGCAGGAGGCAGGGCAGGCCAGATCGATCCCACCACGGCCGCGTGCGACAGTAGCAGCAGCCGTGCCATGGGCAGGGTAACGTGACGCCCAGTGACAATCACCGTCAAAAACAGGGCAGGGGGCAGCAAGCCGACGGCCGGCATAGGCAGTTTGCTGACCGTGACTGCAGAGGCGTACCTGGAGGCTGGAGGAGCCAACTGATGATGGTACTAAGGTGGTGTTTGGTTGGAGGGACTAAAGTGGGGTTAAACTTTAGTCCCTCTCAGGACTTATGTTTTTATGAGAGGGACTAAATTTAGTCCCTAGTTTCCAAACACCCCCTAAAGAGACTGGGTTTTTATTTTTATTTGTTCGATCGCGTTTGTGTGAATGTGTGATCAGATCGAACTTTAAAAGGAAAAAAAAAAGGAGCTCCCGTTTGCCGGTGATGTGTCAATGTCGCGTGACTCGATTACAGGAGTTGAAAAATAGAAGCTTTACGGGAAGCGAAAAATGTGTGTGTGTGTGGGGGGGGGGGGGGGGGGTTGAATCAGTCATGAACTTGTGTCTTTCATACTAGTCGTATTTTTTGGCCAAAGCGGCCCTGCCATTTGTTTAGCTGATGCGGCCTCGATAAGGAGGAGGGTTTGAACACGGTCATTTGTTTTAGGGATCGGGGCGGTGTTCTCGCATCGGTAGCCACCAGCCAGGGCTTCCAAGTCAATGCTGCTGTCACGGCTCACGATGGATTCATTCCATGGGTTTCGATCAATTTCTTTTCATGCGATTTGCACGCATCAGGCATCAACCCAATCACCTGCTCCTCCTTTAAAAAAAATTATATAATCAACTTCTACTATGGGCCCGTTTAGCTCCCTAAATTTTTTTTCCAAAAACATCACATCGAATCTTTAGATATATGCATGAAGCATTAAATATAGATAAAAAGAAAAACTAATTACACAGTTATGGGGGAAATCGCGAGACGAATCTTTTAAACATAATTAGAGCACCCGCAATGGTAAAGTAAGTTGCTCTCTATAACACACGTACATCTCAACAATAGACTAGATTAATAGTAAACCTCCTTAATAGTATGTCTACATGGGTATCTATAGCTCTCTAATCCATTGCCTCGTTTTTCTCTATAGACTATCTCCAGGTTAGTAGATAGTTTTGCTCTCTCTCTTCATTTAATATCTTCCAAGTAGGAAAATATGCTGACATGGATCTCTTGTAGAGAGCATATAGATAACCATTGCAGGTGCCCTTAGTCCATGATTAGCCATAAGTGCTACAGTAACCCACATGTACTAATGACGGCTTAATTAGTCTCAAAAGATTCGTCTCACGGTTTCCAGGCAAGTTCTGAAATTAGTTTTTTCATTCGTGTCCGAAAACCCCTTCCGACATCCGGTCAAACGTCTGATATGACAACTAAAAATTTTCTTTTCCCCAATTAAACACACCCTATGTTTCATGCAACCTCATCAGCCCAAGTATGTTTTGTCTGTCAATTTAAAGAGAATCATATTTAAATTCATAGCAAGAAATTGTTTTTCCTAAAAACGTAGGGTGTAAACTACCTGTATCGTTTCGTTTGTCTTGAGTTGTAAAAGGTGCAACAGCAGCAAGCAGCAGGAGGGACACTAGTACTACGGCTGCTGCTTTGTAGTAACAATAGTACACTATTAAACCATTACCCGCAGTATACTGAGTACTGACACGGTTATTTGCATCAATCAACTGTGACCTCGGTTCTCATTAAGCAACGAGCAAGTTGGCGCAAGGAGACAAGCAGAGGAATGGGCACATCAGATAGGATAATCGAGTAGATAGATCATTAATAAAGAATCAATCAGGAGCGTTTAAGGGTTCCAAATCCGGGAGCATTCTTAATTAGAGCAAGTTCAGTAGTATAGCAAAATACTAGCTCCAATTTATCTATAACTAATCTAATAGCTCATTAATACAATAGTTATATACTACACTATTAATACCTGGTCTCATCTGTTATACACACATTGTATCTTGAAGTCCGTGCTACAGTTGGCTACAAATCTGCAGTCCGTTGTTCTTCTCTCTCCTAAGAGCGAGTTTAATAGTATAGCCAACTACTAGATCCAATTCATCTATAGCCAATCTAACAGCTCATCTATATAATAGTTACATAGTACACTATTGATACCTGGTCCCACCTGTCATACACACACTGTGTCTTGAAGTCCGTGCTACAGCTGGCTACAAATATGTAGCCCGCTGCTCTTCTCTCTCCTTATTTTTCTCTTTAAAATATGTTTGCAGCTGGCTTATAGCCTGCTATTGTATATGCTCTTATTTATCTTTTTAAAATATGTTTGCAACTGGTTTATAGCCTGCTATTGTACCTGCTATTGTGGCAACAGCTGAAGGCATGGACCGTAAACAATTGCAGTAAGCAACCTGCACATGGGCAGGGATTAGGCGTTGCCCATTCTCCGGTTTCACGTCTCACACGCCACTGTTGCCATTTTCACTTGCTAGCAGCCTAGCACTACTATACTTGAGTCTGAACTATCTTCATTTGCTTCACTGCTAGTACTACGGTTCTACCGGAGATGCATCAAATAACATTGATGTATCATGACCATTGATATATGATCCTACTCTTGAGCAGGACAACAAAACTGAGATCCACAGTTTCCCTTTGAACTATTCTCTTGTGAAATTCTTGCGCTCCAAACCGGGCAACAAATTTAATTCTTCTTCGAAAGTAATATTAATGCTAATTATCATCTACGATATCTTACTACTCCCCCTGTCCAAAAATATAAATATTTTTAATACAGTGCTAAGTCAAACTTTTTAAATTTTGACTATTAATAGCAAAAAATTAAAAAAGATTAATCGTGTAAATTTGGTGTTACTATATTTATCATTAAACGAACTATCATAATATACAACTTTTTGTATTTAATACATTTTCCTTTTGTAAATATTGTTGGTCAAAATAGTATCTCGGAGACCATGTCCAAGTCCAAAAATGCTTATATTTTGCGACGGAGGGAGTATAATGATATTTGGATGGAAAGAAAGCGCTTCGTAGGTAGCAAATTACTCTCCCCGATTAGAAATATTTGATGTGTAGTGCAAGATTCGTTCGTACTTGTAAAAGTTTAAAACTTTTAAAAGGTTCAGACAATATTCGGTTAAAAATATTCAAACCCTGCAAAGTTTAAAACATTTAAAAGATTCGGACAAGACTTAAGATTTTAAAAAGGTTTAATCAAATCTTGTCCTAAGCGTCTCAAGTACCAAATTACGCGAACACATGCAGAGCTTAAGTACCAAATTACGCGAACACATGCAGAGTTGGTTTCGGTACAACATTGACCGAAAATCATTGGTTTAACCAGTCTTTGATAAATTGGTGGGAGCGGTTTTTTTTATAAGAAAATGGAAAAAAGCTACTTTCCTTCCTCCGTTCCAGAATGTAAGAGTTTCTAGCATTACCTGAATTCACAAAAATATAAATAAATCTAGACTCATATAGAAAATCTATACATTGATTAATGCATAAATCTAGTAGAAAAGGAACGGAGGGAGTATTGCACGTACCGGCAATTTTTCTTTCAGAAAACCTACACCACGGCATCCCGTGGAGACGGGATCCCCTCCTCCTACCTCACTCCTCTCCCCCAAATCATCTGGATCCCCTCCTCCTACCTCACTCTCCTCCCCCAAATCAGACGGCACTGTAGCCTGTTGGAATTAATGAATGGGCCTTAGCCCACTCGAAGATTAATTCTTTGGAAAATCACAAAAGCCCACCTCATGGGATGGCATGCATGTGGAGTTTAGTACCACCTTGCTTATTCTAGGAGAGGGGGACCTCCTTAAAAGGGAGGATGCCCTCCTAGTCACTTGAAGCATGTGTGGTGGAGAGAAGAGGGGAAACACGCGCGCGCTCGCTCGCCTCGCCTGGCTGGGCAGGCGGCGCGCGTGCACGACGTACGCGTCGAATGGTCCGAAAAATTGGCTCCTCACCCTTGTGCAGATGCAGCCTCCTTTTGCAGTTTTGTTTTGCTGCAAATTCGGATTCGTTTTTGTTTTGGAAACGTTCCGAAAAATCCGGTGCGTGCAAACGGCGTGGAGTCCGGATAAGTTACGCGCGACTTATCCGGTTCGGTTACGCGCAGTACAGATCGTGCGGGCGCCCTGATCAAGCGACCCTTCTCTATATAAACCGACCTGCCGTCTTCACGCAACACACGTGAAATCAATCTAGGGTTTGCCTCCTACTCTGTACTGCGCCGTCGCTCGTAGACTACTCCATCCCGCTCGCCGGCGTGCACCGGCGATCGGGAGAGCAGGTCTCCGGAACCTCTGCCTTCGACGTCCTGCACCGGGAGAAGGCGGCAATAAGGTTTTTGGGAAGCGCTTCGCGCGACTGCTCCCTGTTCGTTCGTGACGGCTCGCCTTCCTCTTCGCTCGCGTGTTTCGTGCCTTCGTAGACACCTGCGAAAAGTTTCGACCAAGTAGCCGGTCTTTCCGTCACCTCGGTACGTGTTCAATATGTTGCGCATATTTGATCTGTTCATGTTATACTGTGTAGTTTACATGTGTAGATTTAATGATGCGTTCATGCTAGTTTTCATCTGTAATGTCATGATTTATTTATGGAATAGATTAAATCATTATATGTCTATAATCTCAACATAGCCCTCCCTGTCGTCGTCACCCACCGCTCGCCGGAGCCAGCGACCACCGCCGCGGGGAGGCGGCGATGGCAAGGAGCTCGGCGGCGGGCGCGGTGAGTGAGAAGGAGAGCGGAAACGGGGAGCGGTGGAGCCGAAACGGGGTGCGGCTGCGGCGACATCCCTCCATGGCCAACAGCAAGTGGATCTGCTACAACGTCGATGATGAAGGCTTCCATGGCCGGCGGCAGGGGTGCGCCGAGCACGTCGTCGTCCACAGCTGGCTGAGGAGGCATGGTACAAGGTAGGCACCAGATCTGTTGCCTCCTCATCCTCCACCGCTGTCCCCAGGCGACGAGCTCGCCCCGCTGCTCGACCTCCCTGACTCCGCGACTGCTCCTCCTTCCTCCTCTCTCCTAGGGTATCACGCTGGTACCCAGGTTTGATATCTAGGTACAAGCTCGATACCCAGATACCAGGTACCAGGTATTAGCCGGTACTAGGGTACCAGGGTAACAGGTATTAGCCTGGTAACCAAGGTGCCAGGTATTAGCCGATACTAGAGTATCAGGTACCAGGTACCAGCCGGTACCTAAGGTACCAGGTACCAAGTATTAGCCGATACTAGGGTATCAGGTACCAGGTACCAGCTGGTATCTAAGGTACCAGGTAACAGCCGGTAACCAAGGTACTAGCAGGGTTTCCTTTACAGGCTTACCACGGGGTACGGTAATATAAATACCGCGGTAACCTCCTTAAATTCAAATAAATTTAAAAAATAATTTAAATTTTTGATAAATTTTGTACGGTTTTGTACGGTTTTTCACGGTTCCCGCGGTTACCGCGCGGTAACCGTGCTTACCACCGCGGTAACCGTGCTTACCGCCGGGGCGCGGTAACCCCGGCCCCGGTGGTTTGAGAAACCGTGGGTACTAGTTATTAAAATTCTTCCGTTGCAACGGAATCCCGTTGTGTAGGAGTTCCCTTTTTCTTTTTCCAAACGGAACCGTTTGCCCTGAAAATTTTCCGCGTTTCGGCAAGGGAGGACACTGCCCCCAGCTGCAGGGGCTCCGCGTCGCGTCGGTAGTCAGCCACAGACAGCCAAGCCTACCAAACCCCCACACGCAGGTCGTCGTCGTCTCCACGCCCGCACGCCTCCCCTCCAAAAACCCACAGGATCCGAGCTAAAGCTAAGCTTAGCTACCACACAGTGGTGGCCGCGCACTCCTCCTCCTCCTCGCACTGCACACGCCAACGGGTTACAAGAACGAGTTGGCACGCGAGAGCCCTGCAGGGAGGAGGAAGGATGCACCTGCACGCGAAGACGGACTCGGAGGTGACGTCGAGCATGGCGGCGTCGTCGCCGCCGCGGGCGGCCTACTACGTGCAGTCGCCGAGCCACGACGACGGGGAGAACAAGACGGCGGCGTCGTCCTTCCACTCCTCCCCCGCGGCGTCGCCGCCGCGCTCCCTCGGCAACCACTCCCGCGAGTCCTCCTCCTCCCGCTTCTCCGCCGCCAAGTCCGGCTCCTCCCGCCGCACCGCCGCCGCCGGGGGAGACGGCGGCAAAGGCGGTGTCGCGGCTGGCCGCGGCGGCGGAGGTGGTGGTGGTGGTGGGCGGCGTAGCCCGTGGATGAAGGAGGCGGCCATCGAGGAGGAAGGCCTGCTGATGGAGGACGACGACGCCGACGGCGGCGGCGGCGGCGGCGGCGGGTTCTCCTCCCTCCCGAGGCGGTGGCGCTATGCGCTGGGCTTCGTCGGCGCCTTCTTCGCGCTCTTCTTCTTCTTCGCGCTCATCCTCTGGGGCGCCAGCCACAACCAGAAGCCCGTCGTCTCCATCAACGTAATGATATGCAAAGCTCGATCGATCGCCATTGAAATGCTTGCAAGAATCAAACCGATTTTTCTCTAACTTGAGAGGGTGATTTGTTTCGCATGCAGAGCATCACGTTCCACAACTTCGTGATCCAGGCGGGGACGGACGCGTCGCTGGTGCCGACGGAGCTGTCGACGGTGAACGCGACGGTGAGGATGACGTTCCGGAACACGGGGAGCTTCTTCGGCGTGCACGTCACGGCGGAGCCCCTCACGCTCTACTACTACCAGCTCCTCATGGCCTCCGGCAACGTAAGCCGCCTCTCAAAACCCCATCTTTTAGCTTGCACCCATCGATTTTGATCTCTTCTGTTCAATACAGTAGACTAGTTTCTTCTTCACACTGCATCCGTAGTCCTAGTAAAAAGACACTTTTTTTAAACAATATAAATCTTAATTAGCTGATGTTTTAAGCTGCAAAGCAGAGCTGTGGCAAATATTATGGTTATGGCCGAGTTTAGTTCCAAACTTTTTCTAAAACTTTCAACTTTTCCATCACATCAAAATTTTCCTATACATAAACTTCCAATTTTTTCGTCACATCGTTTTAATTTCAACCAAACTTCTAATTTTTGCATGAACTAAACACACCCTACGAATCTTAGCTGCTAAGTTTCAGAAGATGTGTGAAAATATTCATGCTAAGTAGATGCCGGGAGGGGATAAAACCTCAGCATTTTGCAGTAAACCATCCTGGTAGGCTGATACTCTTGTTAAAAGCGCTATATAATTTATCACATGAAAAAGAAAAATCTCGATCTCTTGTTCGTATTTGTGAACAATGGACTACAGCTGCACATTGACCAAACCAAACTGTAGCAGTTGTGATAATGCCTACACGGCAGCACCATGGATGTAGACTAGTACTACTTCACACTGTTGAAACTAGTTCAACACATTCAGAGAATCTCTGAAACTCTCAACATCATCTTCAAACACTAGCTGTCATCCATTCAGTCAAGTTGCAGCATCACACACTCCAAATTTTTCACTACCTTCATTAATTCCAATTAAGAAAAGAGAGAGACAAAAAAAATTGTCATTGTGGTCCATCCATCCAAAACTGATCTGAAAGTCTGAAACTTTCTTGGCAAAAAACACCGAGTGACTGACAAAACTGAAACATTCTCACTCAGGTGAAGTACTTCTACCAGTCGAGGAAGAGCTCGCGGCACGTGGCGGTGGCGGTGGTCGGCGACAAGGTGCCGCTGTACGGCGGCGGGTCGGGGCTGAGCAGCACGCCGGTGAAGGGCGCGCCGCCGGCGCCGGTGCCGCTGCAGCTGGCGGTGCGGTTCAGGTCGCGGGCGTTCGTGCTGGGCAAGCTGGTGAAGCCCAAGTTCCTGACCAACGTGCAGTGCAGCGTCAGGCTCGACGTCGCCAAGCTCGGCAAGCCCGTCTCCCTCAACAAGGCTTGCAGCCTCGTCTAATCTAAGCTGCAATGCCGGCGAGCTAGCTGCTCATCACTGCGTCATCTTCGAAATATCGTCTTCTTTTTTTTCTTCTTCTTGTTTCTTTCTTGTCTGATATTTACAGTATATTGTCACTGCATACTTTGCGAGTTGGTTAGTTTGGAAGGAGGGTGAGGAGATCGATCAGGTTGTGTGTACAGGGAAATTTTGTCGCGAACATTTTGAGATATCGAATTTTGGGTGGATAATAATAATTAATCACGCCGTTGCCGTTCTTTCTTTGTTGCTGAGTTTCTCCGAAATGTTGTAGCGTCAGGTTTTTGTGAATTGTGTGATGTGATGTGATGTTCAGACATTCAGTTGTCACCTGAAAATCTTCTTGGAAGTGGTGGGTGCCGTGTAGCCCGGCGTTGCTTCCATTTCTGACGCTCTTTGCCTGTTCTGATCTTCTGTTCCAGCACGACAGCGGCCAGATCCAGTACTTAGGCCCTGTTTAGATGGGACTAAAACTTTTGAGTCCCTATCACATCGGATGTTTGAAAATTAATTATAAATATTAAACGTAGACTATTAATAAAACCCATCCATAATCTTGGACTAATTTGCGAGACGAATCTAATGAGCCTAATTAATCCATGATTAGCCTATGTGATGCTACAGTAAACATTCTCTAATTATAGATTAATTAGGCTTAAAAAATTTGTCTCGTGAATTAGCTTTTATTTATGTAATTAGTTTTGTAAGTAGTCTATATTTAATACTCTAAATTAGTGTCTAAAGACAGGGACTAAAGTTAAGTCCCTGGATGTAAACACCACCTTACTTCCTCCCAAAATAAGTGCCTCCCAAAATAAGTGCAGCTATAGTTTTCCGTACCAAACTTTAATCATTCGTCTTATTTGAAAATTTTTTGAAAAAAAATAAAAACATAAGTCACAAATAAAGTACTATTCATGTTTTATCATCTCGTAACAATAAAAATGCTAATTATAAAAAAATTTCAAATAAGTCGAACGATTAAAATTGAGCGCGGAAACTAATGGCCGCACTTATTTTGGGACGGAGGTAGTAGAAAACTTCCCGGATGATGAACGTTTCCATGTTCAGATTTCTGACGAGATGAACGTTTTTGCAGGCTGCTGCTGATCTGTGAGCTGGCAATGCTCGATTGTTGATTCAGATTAGATCATCAGCTTCAGGTGCTTTGCAACTGATTACTGCTACTGCTACTGTACTTTTTACTGCCAGATCTTAATAATCTTATCGCGGTGATCAACAAGACAGAATCTTGTTGACATCGAGTAGAGCCGTTCCACTGTTTCCGTGCAGATCGACGATCGAGAATGGGGGTACTACTACTATCATTATCTACTGAAGCAGCGGCAAAGCTTAGCAATATCCTACTCTGGTCTGATGCATTGAAGGAGTAAGGGTCAGTGAAAGTGATCTCGTTCCACATGGGCTGTCAGAAAGAGAATTTAGTTTTGGCCGTGGCATCTACTATCTGAAAGTGCTTTATTGCAGGTTTGCAGATGTACTGCTTCCCTTCAGTTCGCATATGGAGTAAGTAATGCAAATGTTATATGATCCGAGGTTAATTAGTTGTACTAAATCATACTTTTTCTGTATCGCATCTTGAGAAAACTTTAGTATGGAAATGAAAAAGACTAACGTATTTCTTATTAATATTTAATAGAGAAATAGTAGTAGTGGATTGGTTAAGATATTGAAGAGATAAAACTTATCGATTTATGGGAGATAAAAGAGTAAAAATCAACATGTTTTCTAAAAGGAGGTGCTTATACTCATTGTTCATTTTTTGCTTAATTTAAGTGGCAAGAGTACTAGTCTGAATTTTGGCAAAATAAGACAAAACAGGCTGGATTTAGTACTAGTCTGAATTTTGGCAAAATAAGACAAAACAAGCTGGATTTCCAGCACCACTACTTCTTAACAACGAACGCTATGTCCCCAGAGTTCTGCAGATTTGTCGGCATTTTTTAACAGATATATCACCCATTGGAAGTCAACGACAGATGCATTAGTATTTACTACTATATTCCTATTATAATGTTAGCAAATCTGAAGGGAAATATAATAAAGAGAAGAGCGTGAGCACGTCTATGTATTGTATTGGTGCGCAATTCGATACAACCGGCTAACATTTTATCAAATATAATCAAAACAATCCATCCAGTTCTCCCGGCAAAAATAAAAAATAATAAAATATAGAAATTTAAACAATCAAATATTTAACAAAAATATGAAGTGAGCGTAACTTAACGAGTTAGTTTCCTTATGGTGAAACCAACCCACCCTAATTCAAGACCTAGATTTGACGTTGGTGATCTCATTTACAGTTAATTATTCTTTTTAGTGATAGGCGACCTACCCGTAATGGTTTCGTCGATCTCAAGATACCCAAACTTCTAAATTGTACATTTTTGTTAAATATTTTTATATAAATTTCTTTCAAGCAATCATTTTTTATTTTTAAATTTTATAAAATTAATATTGAATTAATTATGTACTTCCTCTATTTTATAATATAAGACTTTCTAGCATTGCTATGAATGTGGACAATGCTAGAAAGACTTATATTATGAAACGGAGCAAGTACTATTGATTAATCTCGTTTTATATGTCACTAAAAATTTTAGCCGATTAGCCAATTCGAACATAGCTGAATTTCAAGGGGTAGAAACTTGCATGGTTTTATGGATTTTGCAGCCCATATAGCACCTTTCAAGAAGGCCCAGAGAGCTTCCACATTGCTTGTGTGGCCCAGCTCCGTGCCATGGTCATCATGGCCTTTTTTCTTAAAGGAGACTCAACACCATGGACCATGTATCAGAATGCATGGAATATTATTATTGTTTAAATTTCATACAACCTCAGATATTATTATGGTTTAAATTTAACAAAATCATAAGAGTTTTTATATGTGATACCTCATCATGGGTATTATAATTTTAAGTTTACGCAAAACATGCCGTTAGCCCATCTCACTTAACATTGTATCAATTTTTTAAAAAAATTGATTAACTTGCATGGCTACAACATATGTACGGTGGATTAAACAACCCATGAATTCTGGATATAGGTTTACAGCTCATGTATATAGTATATTAAAGAAAAACTAGTTGATGGTGTAGTTTTTTCAAAATGTAGGACCAAAAACACCTGTGGTTATATGCAACGGGCCAAAACTCATATGGTTTTATGCAATTTGAATTATTATAATATCTTGATTTTTTGTGAAATTTATATAAAAAAAATAAATGACCTTTTTTTCTCTCAGTTTGCCCTCCAACAAGGAGATGTAAAGCAGCTTTTCTTATGCTGAAGATTCCTAGGAGCACGATTGACATATATTTCTTAGATAATACGATTGACATATATACCTCCTTTTCTTTTTCATGATAGCTGTGGCATATATGCTACAGTTGGGTATTGTCATCAACACATTTCATATGATCTTGAGAGAGAAGAACAAGAATAAAAAGCCTTTTTTTTCTATCATTCCCTCACAATGAAGATTGTAAACATCTTTTCCTGTATGCTAGTACCTGGGAGCATGGATTGTAATTGCACTTGCACCCATTACCCTATCTTTTTCTTTTCTTTTTGATGAGATGCATTACCTTTTCTTTTTGATGATCATAACTATGGCATGTACTATATTATAGTACAGTTTGCTAGTGCTGTTAGTTAACCAGATGGGCCCAGACAAAAGAGAGAGAACACATCTTGGGCCTACCCTACCACCTTCTATTCCTTTTTCCAGTTCTTTTTATGGCAGAATTGTCATGGCCAAGACAAAGAAGATAATCTGAGTTGGAAGTTGATTCATTACACAATCATTCATGTTCTTTGATAACATTGGCATCAAATTAAACCTTTTTTTGGTGTGGTGTTCAGGAATCTTTAATAAGCTTTCATTAGGTTCTTTGAAACAAAGTGATCGCCTCCTTTTCTTTCCTTCTCCATGCCATATATCTCTGGTCTCCATGACGAGTAGTAAAAGAGCCGCACGCTTGATCCACCAACCGGCTATGAGTAATTGAGCCCAAGAAAGTACTAATCATCACTATAATCTCTGCATCATGCTGCCAATGTTGCTTGCTTGACATATAATGATCATATAATACCAATAATTAATCACCATTGGAAAAGTATTTGCCAGGACAAGCCTACCTTCCAAGCCTTGGCAAGTACTTTCTTCTGCTTAATATTCGAGTTTCATATTATAAGTTATTTTGGGTTTTTTCTAAGGTCAATATTTTATTTTGGGTTTTCCTAAGCCAATATTTTTAAGTTTGATTAAATTTATAGAAAAACGTAACAACATAATCTCTAACATCAAATTAGTTTTATTAAATCCACCGTTGAATATATTTTTATAGTAATATTTATTTTGCGTTGGAAATGCTACTGTATTTTTCTGTAAACCTGGTTAAACTCGAAGATATTTAACTTAAAACAAACCTGAAATAACTTATAACATGAAATAGAGAGGAAGCCACATTTATGAAGTTTGATATATCCAAATGGCGACGAGTTGGCGGGAAGCAAGTTCTTGAGTGCAGTGGAGCTGCAAGATCGATTATCAGATGGAGTACTCAACCGAAACTTAATGGAACAGGATGAGAATAATGCTAGCTACACGATATGGTGTACTAAACTCAATGTTTCCAGAGATTATCCTGTCTTTGATGTGAAGCTCACATCAAGCAAGATCAGTGGTGCCCCCACAAACTTTTACAGTTTTACCTGATGATTGCTCATTGCTGCAGAAATGTGCAGGGAATTTTCTCATCATTGATAGTTTTCAGGCTAGCGATCGTCGTCAGGAACTAAAATCCGGCACACGGCCCTGAAGGCTGAATTCAGTTTGGCGTGCAACCTGAACTATTATTATCTCTGCAACAATTTTCTCCAGTCATTTTCGTGGCTACAGTCACCGTCAGCTTTGCAGTCAACCCCCGGTCGTCTTCCTCGTCTCCATCTCCGTCTGCGGCGGCGGCGAGGAGAGTGCGCGCTGCGCATTTGCGGCGGCGACGGCGACATGCACGCGCGCGGCCGTGGAGCACGAGGCCGGAAAGGAGCACGGAATGGGTGGAGGCAACTCGGCACAAAGACTGTGAAGCAGCCAAGCAGCAGCAGCTCAGCCCAGCCTGAGTGCAGCGTCCACCAACACAGCCTGTGCTTCTTTTTTGCTCTTCCCTGCTGCAATCAGTTTCATGTGGTCATATCACCAATTCATCACCAAGATAATATTTATCCCAAAAGCAAAACTTTACCTTTCGAACAGTGGCATTGCTTGACTCGCCACAGTTTTACACAACCTATTCTTCATTAATTAACGAGTACATTATTAAAAAAATGATATTGCTTTTGTTTTTTTGTTATAACAGCGAGAGCAACTTTTACGGTGGTCTAACATTCCAACAAACGTTTCTATTATAACTAGCAAAATATTTCGAACAGCAACCACAAACTAAACTGGGCCACGCTGTTCGTGATACGAAAGCGAGGATAATTTGCTACTACTACTAGTATATGAAATGGAGGCACACCGAACACGATACGTCCGTGCGAAGCTTAGTGTTCGACCCTGTGAAAATGATTGCAATGTCGACGAACATGCATGCCACCCATGGATCACACTGGCCATGGCTTATTAGCTAGTAGCTCACTGTCTTTTCACTTCCTTTTTCTTGCTAAACTATTATTATCATTTATCTTAAGAAGATTCTTAATTAGTGTAGCTTTATGTCGATCGCCTTCGATCAAAGAGCGAGCTCAAATACCATGGCCTCCATCGATGGACATGGACGACTCCAATATGTATATAATGTATCCGGTCCATTGCCACCATCGCCATGAACGAGTGCAATCCACTCGTGTCATCCACTCACTCTCGTTGCTCTTCTTAAGAGGACGAAGACGACGACGTCGAACACGAAGACATCATGATGGCATGGAGGAGCTTGTCGCTGGTGGCGTTCATGGCGGCGGTGGCGGCGGCGGCCGCGGCGGCGGGCGATGACCGGAGGCCGTACGTGGTGCGGATGGACGTGTCGGCGATGCCGGCGCCGTTCGCGACGCACGACGGGTGGTACCGGTCGGTGCTCTCGTCGGCGTCGGCGAGGGACGCGGCGGCGGCGCCGGCGGCGGAGCACCTGTACACGTACTCGCACGCCATGAACGGGTTCAGCGCGGTGCTGACGGCGAGGCAGGTGGAGGAGATCCGCCGGGCGGACGGGCACGTCGCCGTGTTCCCGGAGACGTACGCGCGGCTGCACACCACGCGCACGCCGGCGTTCCTCGGGCTCAGCGCCGGCGCCGGCGCGTGGCCGGCGTCCAGGTACGGCGCCGACGTGGTCGTCGGGATCGTGGACACCGGCGTGTGGCCCGAGAGCGCCAGCTTCAGCGACGCCGGCGTGGCGGCGCCGGTGCCGGCGAGGTGGAAGGGCGCGTGCGAGGCCGGCGCGTCGTTCCGGCCGTCCATGTGCAACCGGAAGCTCGTCGGCGCGAGGTCGTTCAGCAAGGGGCTGAGGCAGCGCGGCCTCAACATCTCCGACGACGACTACGACTCGCCGCGGGACTACTACGGCCACGGCTCGCACACGTCGTCGACGGCGGCGGGCGCCGCCGTCCCCGGGGCGAGCTACTTCGGCTACGCCAACGGCACGGCCACGGGCGTCGCGCCCATGGCGAGGGTGGCCATGTACAAGGCCGTGTTCTCCGCCGACACGCTGGAGTCCGCGTCCACCGACGTGCTCGCCGCCATGGACCAGGCCATCGCCGACGGCGTCGACGTCATGTCGCTCTCGCTGGGCTTCCCGGAGTCCCCCTACGACACCAACGTCGTCGCCATCGGCGCCTTCGCCGCCGTGCGGAGGGGCATCCTCGTGACGTGCTCCGCCGGCAACGACGGCTCCGACAGCTACACCGTCCTCAACGGCGCGCCGTGGATCACCACCGTCGGCGCGTCGACCATCGACAGGGCGTTCACCGCCACCGTGACGCTCGGCGCCGGCGCCGGCGGCGCGAGGAGCATCGTCGGCAGGTCGGTGTACCCGGGGCGCGTGCCGGCCGGCGCCGCCGCGCTCTACTACGGCCGCGGCAACCGGACCAAGGAGCGGTGCGAGTCCGGCAGCCTCAGCCGCAAGGACGTCCGCGGCAAGTACGTCTTCTGCAACGCCGGCGAGGGCGGCATCCACGAGCAGATGTACGAGGTGCAGAGCAACGGCGGCCGCGGCGTGATCGCGGCGAGCAACATGAAGGAGATCATGGACCCGTCGGACTACGTCACGCCGGTGGTGCTGGTCACGCCCTCCGACGGCGCCGCCATCCAGAGGTACGCGACGGCGGCGGCGGCGCCCAGGGCGAGCGTGCGGTTCGCCGGGACGGAGCTCGGCGTCAAGCCGGCGCCCGCCGTCGCCTACTTCTCGTCGCGCGGGCCGAGCCCGGTGAGCCCGGCGATCCTCAAGCCGGACGTGGTGGCGCCCGGCGTGGACATCCTCGCGGCGTGGGTGCCCAACAAGGAGGTGATGGAGCTCGACGGCGGGGAGACGAAGCTGTACACCAACTACATGCTCGTCTCCGGCACGTCCATGGCGTCGCCGCACGTCGCCGGCGTGGCGGCGCTGCTCCGGTCGGCGCACCCGGACTGGAGCCCGGCCGCCGTCCGGTCGGCCATGATGACGACGGCCTACGTGAAGGACAACGCCGACGACGCCGACCTCGTCAGCATGCCCGGAGGCTCGCCGGGGACGCCGCTGGACTACGGCAGCGGCCATGTCAGCCCCAACCAGGCCACCGACCCCGGCCTCGTCTACGACATCACCGCCGACGACTACGTCGCCTTCCTCTGCGGCGAGCTCCGCTACACCAGCCGCCAGGTCGCCGCCATCGCCGGACACCGCGCCGGCTGCCCCGCCGGCGCCGGAGCAGCAAGCCACCGCGACCTCAACTATCCGTCGTTCATGGTCATCCTCAACAAAACCAACTCGGCCACACGGACGTTCACCAGGACGCTGACCAACGTCGCCGGCTCGCCGGCGAAGTACGCCGTGTCGGTGACGGCGCCGGCGGGGATGGCGGTGAAGGTGACGCCGGCGACGCTGTCCTTCGCCGGCAAGGGCAGCACGCAGGGGTTCAGTGTGACGGTGCAGGTCAGCCAGGTGAAGAGATCAAGAGATGGTGACAATTACATTGGCAACTATGGGTTCTTGAGCTGGAATGAGGTCGGAGGCCAGCATGTTGTCAGGAGCCCTATAGTGTCAGCATTTGCCCAATGAGAAGAACAGATGTTAGCATAGCAGGATCAAAAATAAGAGCATGGAAATAGAAAATGACACTAAAACAAAGTATACTACATACAACTAATAATCATGATCAGGAATATAAAGAGTACATATAATGGAAAGAGAGAAATAATTCTCACCAGGATACTGATATTGCACGTGTATTTTTGTACTCTCTGCTTCTGAATTCTAGTTTTGTTACTGTTCTTCTCAACGTATCAAATTATTTACACAAGGGTTACAAACAGAGCATCAATAAGGAGCAGCTTGTAAGATTTATATACAGCAACAACCTTAAAAGGGAATTACACCTGATGCACTACGTTTCATGCAGCAAAAGATTAAACAGAAGAGGAAAATCCTAATAAGTTTTTCTAAGCTAGAATGAGCACTACTAAATAGTCTACATGCTTCAGCAAGATGTTATATGTATTATATCTCTTATCAACATTGGGGTCTACAAATTCTGTAAGCGGGCAATCAGCAGGTGATAATTAAGGATATCCAAGCAATTCTTCCAGAGTTACAGCATATTCTTGAGCTATTTCCTTGATCAACTCCTATGCACTACTGTAGTCGAAGGAAAATGAGATGACATGAAAAGCGATTCAATAGGATATCATTAACACTAATCCATTCAATGTTGAAGGAATCCAAATCTATTGTGTCCTTCACTCCACTTAGACCACTTGCTATGCACGAGTGCTCAGTGCTCACTGTTCAGCATGAAAACATTGAAAATTCATGGCCATCTTGTTGCTATTGTGCTACCAAAATCATTGCAGGTCAGCATTACTGGCCACCATTCCTATACATAGCATAAAATCCTATTCATTTTGTATTGGTATGTTAGGTATACGATCTTTCTGAGCTGAAAATTGAAAAATACCTGTAGATGATCATCCTCATATCAAAGCCATCTGCCACCAACTTGGACCTTCGAGCTCATCATGTATGATCAGTTGCTCAACTTGGCAGCCATGTTGCTTCTGGGAGTCCTACCACCTTCTGTCCAGAGTCCCACTTAGTATTCAGTCATTGCATGAACCAGCATTCTCCAGGCTCAGTAGCAGTCTAGCAGCGCAGGACGGTAGGAGCACTGATGAGCAGATCCCAAATACCAGCTCTGACCAAATTGCGAGCTTCAGTAACAAGGTATATCTTTTGTTCTCTTCTACTTGTGAGGAAGGGGAACAGCTCAGAATATGAGATGATACCAAGATTTCGACTCATCAGTCTGCAGCTAAAAATCCATCAAGTCATTCTACCTGAAAAGCCTTCACGCCAACATCACAGTATATCTAGTGATGACAATGGCAATTCACCCAGGGACTAGAACGGCCATCAATCACATATGCCAGCTATATTAACTATAGTTGGTTCTCTCTGCTATCAAAGGGTTCTACAACCAGTATTACCTCCAACAAGTAAAGTAATTCACTAAGATATACTCTCTGCAGGGTCTACAGCCACAAACGTCTAACCCACCATGCTGACTTAGCCAGAAAAGAGAAAAACAAGCACCATGGGTTCCAAGCATTGCCTGACTTACATCATTTACAAGTGGAATGGGATCCATGCTTTACCTGAGTATCAGCGCTTGCTGCCTGAGTGCTAGTACATGCTTGCGGGTTGCCACTATCATCCTGATATACTCATATGCAATACTAGGATCCCCCCTGCATAAGTACCGTGGAATAGTGCAGATCCATGTAGAAGCGCTGGGTTCAGAAGCAGCTCACCAGATCGCATGGGTTCCTGAGCTGACCCGAAGGTAGTATTTCAGAAGCACAAATCCTGGTGCAAAAAAGGCTAACAAATATAACCTGAGCAGAAGCAACAAGTACACAAGATTGGGCAGAATAGCTCTCTTAGAATTCTCCATTTAATTTTCATCTTTCAAAAACTTCATCTCTTATTCTCAACAAATGCATCCTCCTGTTTTCAATCTCTTAGAAAACCGACATGGAGTTTCATATATAGAACCTATCTGATTGATTACCATGGGTTTATTTTGCCAGTTGATTCCAGAGATACCGCAGAGGCACAGATTAACGAGAAAAAAAATGTGGAATTAATAACCACAAAGTTTAATAGTGCATACCTTGTAAAGCTACTTGAAAGAGAAGTGACATACCATATGAGAAGAAAAACCTTCAGCTGATTAGCTGCATCTGCATGCATAAATATAACTGTAAGAATTGTGGAATCTAAAATAATACCAGATATCTACAGCTTCAATAAATAGCACTAAAAATTAAATTGATAAAGGTCATAAAAAAGCAACCAAACAACACCACATAAAGAAGAGTGGAAAATTAAGGAAAATATTAGTCTCCTTTCATTCAAAGATATTTCTAAGGGCTTAAAAATATGCTGCCCTGTTACACATCGATGACAACAATTATGCATTACAATCTTTCAAGGGTAAAAGGAAACTCAGTATTCTGTTTTCTCAGAAGTACATCAATATTTACATGTTACACTGCAATCGCCTAGCAAAATGATCACGGATGCTCCTAGGCAAGAATCCCATATTCTAAACTCTCAGAAGTCCAACTTTACCTTCAATACTTTCTGCAATACTCAGTAGTGATTAATCAAGACATCAAGTATACTGGTACAGTGGAATATAAATCTGAACCAGAACACACTATGAAGTATCTAGCCGAATTGATCATTGCTCTGAGTCTGAGATAGATTTCTCAATGGCTCTCACATAAACAGCCTTCGGAAGAGTCCCAGTAATGCTATGCGTTTTCTCTCCATCCTTAAAGAGTAAAACAGTTGGAATCCTCTCGATGCTGTAAGATGTTGCGACTTGTGGGTAATCATCAGTGTCAAGCTTATAGCATTTTATCCTTCCAGCATATTCTTGTGCAATCTCATCAACAATTCGGTGGACCATTCTGCAGGGTCCACACCATGAGGCCCAAAACTCAATAAGCACAGGTATATCACTGCAGATCACATATTCATTCCAAGAACATGCCGTAATTGTTTTGGCTGTACAAACAAACAAAACAGAGTTGTAAGATAACTCCTCTATATTTGAACGTAAAACTAAACAACAAATGATGTTATATGTCACAACAGTTGCTACACTCAAGTAACTACAAAAGATGCTAAATATAACCCTGACACTATCCGCTTGCTGAGAGTAACAGTTGCTATCCAGCAGCCCTATGCTCATGTAACAAAGTTAGGAAAATTGAACATCTTAAAATGTGTTGTAGCTACTAGTATTTACGGAGGTGAATATGAGCCGAGTTAATTGGTTTGCCTCAATGGTGCAGTTTGCAGGAACAGAAGCAGCGGCCAATATCCTGGAAATGAACAACTGAACGGTAGAGCTGCCGAAAACTAAGAGCAGCCAAAGAAAGAATAATTGAAGAATTGAAGTTTAGTGATATTTCACTACAGCTCCAGGATTTTTTTTCGAACGAACCGGCACTACAGCTCCAGGATCAATCATACTTTACTAGTAACGTGTTTATTTCAAGCTTTCGACATGTATCAAGGTTTCAACTTTTCTGTGGTACTGAACTGGCTGACCCATTTCTTGTACGGTTACACTACCCGAAAAAATGGTATACCCCTACATTGCATTCTCTAGCAAGTAAAATTAAGCTGCTTCCTTACGGCTTCTCCCTTGAAGAGTGCATCCATCATACCACTGTTCAACTACATTAGACTACTACATGGAACTGGAAGCAATGAACATGAGAATTGTCACTAATTTGTCAACCACACAACACACCAAAGGGGGCAAGGGCAGTTACTACACGACACCCTAAAGGCAGCAGAAATTTTTGGCACAAGCAAACGGTTAGCTTCAGGGGGAGGGGGGGGGGGTGGATCATCATCAACCAGCGAGGAGGCACACTCCCTTTACCTCCGCGAGGAGAATACGCGCAGCTCACCGTGCGGATCCGGTGCGCCGCCCAGCGGCGCCGGCAGCCCGGCCACCGGCGTGCGGCGGAGGAGGAGGCGCCGTACCCGGCCCTCCGTCGGCCGGGCGCCGCGAGCGCCACGCCGCGGTAGAGGCTCCGCGGCGGCGGCGGCGCGGGGCAAGCGGTGGCGGTGGCGGCCATGGTTGTTGGTGTTGGTTTTGGGTGGAGACTCGTGCGTGCGTGCGTGGCGGAGGATGCGCGGTAGGTAGGAAAATTTACGAGGCAAATCCGCACGCGACGCGAGCGAGCGAGCCTAGCGCTTATGATGATGAGGACGACGCTGACTTGGAGGTGATTTTGGAGTGTGATGCAATTCACTCAAACCTTATTATTTCCTCCGTTTTTATTATATTTATCAATAGTTTTAACTTTTTTTACAAAAAAAATATATTAAAGTTAATCGATTTTATAAAAATATATGATAGTGATTTGACCACAAAGCAAATATGTTATCCAAATTTACATTGTTTAATGAAACTAATTTGGTCTATCTTAACAAAGTTTGACTAAGATAAAAGTTAAAAAGCGATATATTGCATCCCTGTGTACAACAATGTTCAACTAGGCCTTCACATAACAATTCCATTGGACCATGTGTACCTCATCATTCTCATCCTTCAAAGACCAAACCGGATGGGCAAAAACTCATCTCGCCCTGCAATCCCCTGCATGACTGAAGATCTGAAAGTTGGTAGGGCAAGAATGTCTGAATCTCCTACATTCTTCAGGGAACAAGGTTCTCGCAGCAAGCAACGCCTCCATATCCAAGAATCTCACTTACGTTTGCACGGTAGAAATGATGAAAAACCAGGAGCTTTTCGCAAAACCTTGATTTGTTCGTCTCGAGCTGCCCATGCTGCTGCGTCCCGGTGTATCGTACCATCAGATTCAGAGAGAGCACACTTGGTTTCTTGTCTCCCTGATCAAGACTCATGAAATGGAATGGACACATGACGAACACCAGAGAACAAAACCGCATAGGCAACAGCTACAAAGTCAGAGAGAAAACACTGGAGGATGCCGTCCTGGAAGATCTTCATGTTCTGCACCTGCAGAAAATGGTTGTGCTCATATAAAACTTTTGCGACAAAATCTGTAAAATGGAAAAATGCATGTGGTCATCGGTTCACATACACATCTATATTTGAGTGCAGAAAGATTATTTTTAAAACCCATTTTTTATAAAACTGAGCTCTTCGTACAAAAGTCAACCTTCACTAAAAAAACCAAGTGGAGTAATTTTTTTATGGGATAAAAAGGCTTAGCGCCCAGCTTTTCTGGGAAGCTCAACGGGATTTTTTAAAAATATCCGGCATTTGACACTTGAAACAAGACAATAAGATGACACCAGCTTTGCCACCTCATCATCAAACTACCTATCAGCACCCAAAAAAAAAGAAAACTCCATCATCAATATGTGACTATGTGAGCAGTGTTAGATGCTACACCACCAGATGACAAAAAAAATCCATTCAAATGTTTTGTTTGGTAGTTCAGACTCTCTGAAAAAGAAAAAAAACTACTCCACAAAACTGATGTTTTTCCTATTGGATTAACAACTAACTGGAGATCACCCAACGTTAGAAATAAAGGGCTCGTATCCTTTACCATAATGACATTTTTATCATAGGCATTGACATATAAAGCAATATGAGGATGGAACCTACATGCCACTGACTGTAATGTTAGTGCAATATGCGATGTTTAGTTCCCAAACAAAAACTTTTCACCCTGTCACATCGAATGTTTGGACACATACATAGAATATTAAATATAGACAAAAAAAACTAATTACACAGATTGCGTGTAAATTGCAAGACGAATCTTTTAAGTCTAATTACGCCATGATTTGACAATGTGATGCTTCAGTAAACATTTAGGGCAACCACAATGTGGGGTCTTAAGCCTCTAAAGTGGTCCTTATACATTGTGAAAGTAGTCCATATAGTAGTCTTTAGTATGAACTACCCATATGCATAATGCCTACCCATAAGAATAAAATAGGAATTGTCAGGGTTATGGATACCACATACCTAATAGTAGTTGACTAAATCTCGGCAGGGCCCACCACATATCATGTCCTATACGGAAACAACCTGCGGATGTAGGAGGAGTTCCGGATAAGGAAAGACAACCGGAGTTCTACGTGGAAACGATAAGGACTACTCGGATTGTATCCATATTGGTTTCCCTAATTCTACTTGGACAAAGGGACTCCTATGAGTATAAATACAAGGCCCCCTAGGAGGAGAGGGGGGACAGACAATCAATACCCAACACAATCGACATAGAAGCCACAACATACAAGCCAACATACTCCAAGACAAGACGCCGGATTTTGACTTCAGGGATAGGCATGGCTATTCCCCTACGGTGTCTCCGGATACCGTCAGGAGAGACGAAAGCGCTATCTCTGATCTCGCCGGACACGGATTCGAGGAGCAAGGCTACCCTGTTGTCGACTACGAGTCAGACCTTCAGACCGCCATGTCGACAACAGTTAGATAGGCTACCCCACATATTGTACTGGTGTGATTATGGTGAATAAAAAGCAACATCGGCTTAGGGCTACCTGACCGCTCAGGGACCCAAACCTGTATAAAAATCTTCGTCTCCATCTCTTTTACCTCAGTCTCACATGACATACAACACATGACATACAATTGAGTGGGACCCAGGCTAATGCCTTCTCTTACCATATACATTATAGCAAACAGTATAACTAATGCCGGGTCCCACCTTATTACCTAAGTAGACATTATACATTGAGCATGCCCTTACTAATAACGATTTACAGGCGAAATTTATAATTTATTTTGTTATTAGACTATGTTTAATATGTGTCCCGTATATTCGATGTTATATGCAGAAACTTTACATCCCTATGACTAAACAGGGCCGCCCATGATTGTAAAGCATCGTAATTCGTAAATGAAGTGAATTGGATCGAGTGACCCAGGTGGGCCCCACGCGGCAGCGACCCAGGCTCCAGTCTCTACTCCACGTCGACGGCTCGTTGACCCCCACCGGCTCGTGCGTTGGCGGTTTTGTCGGTTTCCCCCTCTCTCTCCCTCTCCCTCTCCCCCTCGCCGCGCTCGCCTCGCGTACGTACGTACGTCACGTCACGTAGCCGCCTGCCTCGCCTCGCCCCGCGCCGCGTCGCCAACTCCCCCACATGCCGCCGCGCCGCCGCGCTCCCGAGCACCACCCACCCGCCACGCCCGCGCCCACGCGCCACCAGCTACGAGGCGGAGGCGTCCCCAGTGTAGCACCACCACTATGGCGGCGCGGCGGAGGCACGTGGCGGCGGGGGCGGGGGCGCCGGCGCCGGCTGCGGGGGAGTGGGCGGCGGTGACAGCCGGTGGCGGGGCTGCGTGGGCGTTGTCGCCGGTGGAGGAGGTCGGGACGAAGCAGGAGCTGATGCGGCGGACGGGGCTGCCGCCGCGGGACCTCCGCGCGCTCGACCCGGCGCTGTCGTCGGCGGCGTCGGCGTCGTCGTGCCGCCCGTCCGCCATCACGGGGCGGGACCGCGCCGTCGTCGTCAACCTGGACCGCGCCCGTGCCGTCATCACCGCGTCCGAGGTGCTCGTCCCGTCCCCGCGCGACCCCGCCGTCGCGCCGCTCGTCCGGGAGCTCCGCGCCCGCCTCGCCCTCGCCGCCTCCCCAACCCCCGCGCCGTCGCCGTCGCCGCCGCAGGTGACACATGCATGCCCCCCACCCTACCTTCCTTCTTGCATTGCATCGTACGTCTTCTTCTTAAGCAAAAGCTCTGATCTCTCACTCCTTTTCTTTTCTTTTTTGAAAGCATGGCATGGCGGTGGGGATGGACGGGAGCATCTCGCCATCGCAGGCGAGCCGCGGCGGCGAGGAGGCCGCCGGCAACGGCAAGGATGGAGAAGCTCTGGGAGGAGGTGACAAGGCTCTGCCGTTCGAGTTCAGGGCGCTCGAGGTGTGCCTCGAGTTCGCCTGCAAGTCTCTCGAACATGAGGTGTGTGTTCTTCTACCTTGTCTCCATGCTTTTTACCTGCAGTGCTATCTCCATCTCCAATTCTCCATTCAGAATTGGATGGAAATGCAACCAATACCTGATCTTTAAGTGCAGTGTAGCTATGCATAACATGCATTAAAAAAAAAGAGATTTGAAGAGAGATACATCCCTCCAAACATTTTTCAAGAAGAAATTATAAGCGTATTGAAAATTAAACACGGAACCTTGGAGTTATAACCACTTACTCATTGCTACTGCACTATCAATTGCATCTCAACATGCAATTTGCTTGGGTTGAATTTACCATGAATAGTGAGTGGCTCACCAAACTATGCAAAAAGTTATGCATTGTTGTATATTTGTATTAGGTTTGACATTGTAATTGTAGACATATGTTCAATTCCTATCCACATTGATTTTTCTAGGTATGTCATATGATCTTTTAACACTCAACTAGACGTCCACTATCAGTATCTTGCACATGTATATGTCTTTCCTTGCTTTGGTTTATATCACCTTCAGAAGGGGAAAAAAAGAAGTGGATTTGTACCTTGCTACATTTCGACAATTCTTTAGCGGCATCCCTTCTAATCCAACCTTTTTTATTATATGAAAATGACTTTTGTTCTTCTGCCCTGCAAACATGCTTCTCCGATTTTCATGGTTGTTGAGATGATGCTAAGTATCCATGCCGTGCCGGTAACATTCAGTCATGTGTCTCACCCTTTTTTACTTCCTGATAGCACTATAACAATGTGAAGACAAAATTCATTTCTCGAGCACATTAAAACGGTAGTGTGTTTAGCAACTTAGCATTCAGGCAATTCTGCACTGAAATTGCAGTTCCTAAGAAAAATTTGCTTGATACATGATTGCATCAGACTTGCACATTGGAGAAAGAGGCATACCCAGCTTTAGATGAACTCACCTCCAAAGTCAGCACCCTCAATCTTGAGCGTGTGAGGCAAATCAAGAGCCGACTCGTCGCAATATCTGGCAAAGTTCAAAAGGTCAGCTTCAGTATATATACCACAAGCATATGTGAAACTGAAATTACTTCCTCCGTTTCACAATGTAAGACTTTCTAGCATTGCTAATATTCATTAAGATGTTAATAAATATAGACATATTAAATTCATTAACATCTATATATATGTGGGTAATGCTAGAAAGTCTTACATTGTGAAACGGAGGGAGTAACATTTATGTATACCATGGATCAGATAGTCCATTAGGAGTAATTCTGAAGTGTTTAAGTAACATTGCCATGTGTATCTCGTCTGACAGGTCAGGGATGAACTGGAACACTTGCTGGATGACGACATGGACATGGCAGCATTGCACCTAACGGAGAAGCTCGCTTACCAGTCATCAAGATTCGACATCGATAAAGAAGCAAGCGAGCTCGAAGATCACAGGTAAGAAATTTTTTTCTTCCATAGGTTGATGACACAAGTCGATATGCTTCATCCAACCGTTGTCAACATGCTACAGATGTGTCGTCTGAATGTCTGAAGCTCTGAATGCAGCAGCAGGGATGAAGAAGGAGTCGAGGGAGGCGGCGGCGGCGACGGCGACGACGAGACGATCGCCGGCGGCGGCAGCTTCAGCCCCAACACCGACGAGCTGGAGATCCTGCTGGAGTCCTACTTCGTGCAGATCGATGGCACCCTCAACAGCCTCTCCACCGTGAGTAGTTCCTCTCGCCGATGAACGTCAATCATATCTGGACGTCCACCCATTTATTGTATGTCAACTAAATTATTATAATTTTTTTTTAAAAAAATTAATAAGATAAATCAATATATAATATATCATTCCACGAATATATAAGCTATCAATTGTAACAAAAGTGACAAATAAAACTCAAATTAGCAGTTAAATTTGTTTTTTTTTACAACTTATAGAAGTAGAATTTACTTCTATAATTTAAACTTATATGTTTGTGAAGTGATATATTATTTATTAAACTATATGTTAATTTTTTTATAAACATTTAGTGGACATGTAATAAACGGGTGGACGTCCCCTAGAGTGATTAGAATCCATCTCGATTTTTTTATAACCACTAAATGACCTGCATTAAACGGGTAGACATCCGCTCGAGTCATTAAAACAGATTCCCCTCTCTCGCCATTGCTAACGAAGGTGAAATTAACCATCTGAATTTATCTCTCTCTCTCTCACGGATGAAACTGAAGCTGAGGGAGTACGTGGAGGACACGGAGGACTACATCAACATGATGCTGGACGAGAAGCAGAACCAGCTGCTGCAGATGGGGATCCTGCTGTCGACGGGGACGCTGGTGTCCAGCTGCGCCATCGCCGTCACGGGGGTCTTCGGCATCAACGTCCACATCTCCCTCTACGACTCCCCCGCCTCCTCCGCCGCCTTCCCGTGCGCCGCCGCCGGCATCGTCGCCGGCAGCCTCGCGCTCTACCTCGCCGCCCTCCTCTGCTACAAGCGCGCCGGCATCCTCCAGTGACGTTATTACTAGTACTACATGTAAAAGAAACATTGTTTTTAGTATTAACTGTGACCATGAGTGATTAAGAACGAGTAATTATGCGTGTGATAGTGTGATTACGGTGTTCTAGGCCTCTTTGTTTATATTTATTATTACTACCTCTATCCCATAATATAACCCATAAAAAATGCATGGTCAAACTTAACACGGTCACTAATACTAATTTTTGTCTTATAATTTCTCATATATTATAATAAGGATTATAGTAATAAAATTATAACCATATGAAAGTAAATTTAAATATCAATTCAATGATATAATTTTTAGCAAGTAAAATTCAATTCATACTATACACAAAATATTTTGAAGATAAAATCTCAAAATGTGAACACCTAGGATGGAGGGAGTAGTTTTTTTTTTAAGTTTACTACTTCCTCCGTCCCAAAATATAAGAACTTTCGGTTAGATGAGACACATCCTAGTATGACGAATCTGGACGAACGCATGTCCAGATTCATCGTGCTGTACTATGATGTGTCTCATCCAACCAAAACTTCTTATATTTTGGGATAAAGGGAATATGATTTATAAGCCGACGAATTTAAAACCATGTGGAATGACATCTCTATATTTGACTATCTTACGCTATTTTTTTTCAAACTACTACTCCCTCCGTACCAAAAGAAAACTTAACTTATGGAGTTTGAATTTTGTCCCACAAAAAACCAACTTCTACCATACTACCTACCCTTAGCAATGCTTTATTACTTCGATACCATTTACCTATTTTAATGATGTGGGGTATTTTGATCATCTTCACTCTTTACTACTGTTGCATTGGGATGTTAGGGTTGGATTTTACATGGGATAGAGAAAGTAACTTTTAGAAAGTAATATAAAAATGATTTATGGCTTTAAATAAGAAAATGCTGTTTATCTGTTTAGATGACTTTTCGGTTCATAATAAACCGATTTATAAGTCTAAGTCTATACAAAGAGTATTCAGGGTTGGTTTGGTTTATGGCTTAAATAGGCATTACCAAATTTTGTCAGTGCCAAATTTTGACAAGTTTTGGCATGATTAATTTTGGTAAGGCAAAGTTGTGTTTGGATTGAAGCCAAAATATGCTAAGTTTACTATTGAAATGGCCTATTTTCTTAGGCATGTCAAATTTCGGGTTCAAACCAAATAGACACTAACACTATTGAAATTGTCAAATATTGATAAGTCTAATTTAGACCTCAAACCAAACCAACCCTTGGTGTACAGGAGCTTAATGATGAACACTCTCACTGACAACCCTGGCCCAGACGTGTGTGCCCCAACTGTCAGTGTGTCACCAACAACCCAGCATCTACGGCCCCACGTGTACATTCCATTTTTCTCCTGAGCGCAGCGATGACGACGACCAGGAGCTGAGGAGCAGCAAAAAAGAAAAAAAAATCGATTAGTTCACGCAAAACCCAAAAACGAAAAAAAAAAAATCTTCATTGAGTGTTAACTACGGAAAATATCTGACGAATTCGTCGCGAAATTTCGTCCTCTTTTTTTCGTCAGAAACGAACTAAGCAGCGGGGATCTCGGGATAGCGAATCCCCAGATTCGGACTCGATCTCGCTCCCCTCCGATGGTCCGTCTCCCGGCTGCCGGCGGCGACGGCGACGGCGGCGGCGACGGCGGCGGCGTCCTCAACCTGACCTAGGTACGAACAAGTCTCGAGCTCTCTCTCTCTCTTTTTTCCCCCTTACGCATCCAGTATAGTTTGCGTGATCTGATCGTGGCGCATCTGTTCTTGGCGATGGATGGATGGATTGGGAGCAGAAGGAAGAAGGTGTGAATCTCTGCTTTCTCGCGCGATCCGGCGGCGGCGGGATGCAGTACCACCAGGGCGGCAGCCGCATGCCGCCGTTCGCGCGCGGCGGCGCGTACAGCCGCGGCTACAAGCAGCTCTACGCGCCGCCGCAGCAGCAGCCGCCGCCGCAGGACAAGCACGAGGTGCTCATGGAGGCGGGCCGCCTGGCGGCGGAGTACCTGGTGGCGAAGGGCGTGCTGCCGCCGGCCTCCCTGCAGCGCCGCGGCGTCGGCGGCGGGGGATGGGTCCAGCTCCCGCCTCCGCCCCCGCCACCTCCGCCGCCGCAGGGAACCCTGGCGTTCTATGGTGCCCAGAATGGCCGGCGGCGGTTGGATGATGATGATGATGGTAATCCTAACCCCCGCTCGCGGCGGAACCGCGGTGGTGAGAACAATAATGATGACAGTAGTAGTAGCTACAATGGTAGAGGGAAGAGGAAATTCGGTGCTTACAGTAGGCATTCGGATTGGGGGAGGGACAAGGGGAGGAGTAGGGGGAATTCGGATAGCCGGAGTTACGATGATGAGGATGATGACGGGCCTCCTGGTTATAGGAGAGAGCGGCGAGGTGGTGGGAGATTTGATGATGCTGGGAGTAGCATGTCGGGGGTGGCAGCGTCTAAGACGGAGGCCATGGGGGAGTCGGAGCTGGAGGATACTGGGTCGAAGGTGGGCTCTAGCAGTAATTTCAGGAAGGATGTCGATCCGCCACAAGAAGTGGAGGGCGTTGATAAGTTGAATAAGATTAATGAGGAGAGTAATCCATCAAATTCAGAGGTGGTGGAGCAAATGACTAATGGTGAGAGCACTAGTAATAATGCTTCTTGTATTGTTATTGATGAGGAACAGACGAAGGCAAAATATTTGCCTGTGCCCTCAGATGACAAGGTTTCAGATGAGAAGCCTGACGATAGTAGTGTTTTGAATGAGAAGATTGAAGATGACGAGACTTTAGCTGAGAAAGCTGAAGATGATAAGACTTCTGATGAGAGGGTACCAGGTGTGAAGAATAACTTGCGTGATGATTGTAATAATTTGCTGAGCTATTGCAGTTATCCAAATGTACCGACAAGGCGGCGATCAATAGTTGCACACAGGAATGCAGCACCAGCCCATAGGGAAGTTGCTGTTGCCGAACAGATTGATCTGGTTTCCTCTGAAGATGAAACCCATATGGCCACTGATGTTACAGGGCATGGCAGCTCCTTGACTAATACCCAGGAAGGCAACAAAGATGGCCTTGCCTGCTTGGAACATACCGATACAAGCACTACTTGCAATCAGATGGTGGAGCCAGTAAGATTCCAGACAGAGGAAACACAGATTGGAACTGATGATTTGAGAGGACAGAAAAACATTGAGCAACATTATGCAGTTCACGAATCTAGGGAGGAGAATATGTTACCTCCTAAAGTGGGTGTTCAGCAGCAAGTTGAGGAAGGAATGCAGATTTACAATGTTGATACACCGCCACAAGATGAAGACTTGATTGCTTCAGCTGATAAAGAGAAAGTAGCTGGTGTGGCATTATTACCTAGTATCAAAGCTGAAGCTGTTGTTGCGAAGGAAGAGGACAAGTTTGGTCAGTCAAGTTCATTTAAAATATGTGATCTAAACCTAGTTGGTAGTCCAGAGGTTGCTGAATTACGAAATGATCCTGGTTTGGGTCAATTCTCAACTGCTGGATGTTCAATGGAGCCACAAAATCAGCAACAAGAGTTTAGAAATACGGGTAACAGTGCAGATGATACCAACATGCATGCCCAAATTCCATTGCACAATAAGGTGGTTCAAGTTATTGATCTTGAAGATGACTCGCCAATTGAAGCTGGTGCATGTGATACTTCAAAAGCAAAGTGAGTTCCTTCCACCTCCCTCTTATTTGCTATGTCATTCTGCTTTTATATGAGTATAATTTTTTCTTTTGGTATTACGGTTTGATGATACAGTACCTAGCCTTAAAGGCTTGTCCCAGACTAGTTACTATTAGGCAACCAGTTTTGTGTAGCCAGCGATGAATGGTAGCTGGCCCAGACGCTCAGCAATACAAAAATACAGGGGTGACTGCCTTCTTCCAGTCGCTGCACAAGGAGAATGAGTCTAGGCCTTTGCTGTCTTCTTATTGTTGTTGCTTTTCATGTTCTGTAGGAGTGGCAGCTGATCTTGCTGCCTAATCAGCAGACTTGCTGTCAATCTTTGTACTCTTCGCTCTGATCTTAATAAAATTTCTCTGTCATCTTTATGGCTAGCCTGACTAAAACAGTATTTGTACATAATGCACCGACAACCATCTAATTTCCACATCCAACCTATGCATTAGTTTATTTCTGTTTATTTTCTCTTCATTTATTTATCCATTGTGGCTGCTAACTACATACCTTTAATTGTGTATGCTAGAGAGGAAAACATGGCAAACCCTGCTGTGACCACAGATGTTCTTCCTGGTATCCAAGATGGATATAATTTTGCGATTTCAGATTATCTTGGTGCTGATATACCATGCTACCAACCAATGCAAACAGATCTTCCCAATGGGATGAGCCTAAATGATTCAGAGGTGAGGTTTTCTGATATTGTTATACATCATGTGGAGGCTTAATAATAGGAAAATAGATTCACCACTATCCAGTACCAGTAGTGACATTTGAGGATTTGTGACCATATGTTTGCTTGACATGCGTAGACACATATAGTCACCATAAGTTCATAATACTGTTTTTTTTCCATGAGTAAGAGATTCCTTACACTTTTTTTCCTCCTGTTGCAGGGCATTACTGTCATGGATGATTCAATATATGGTTCTCTTAGCGATATCGGTAATTGATATTACTTAACCACTTTTTCAGTTTTTCTACAACAATGTGCGTTATGTCTTTGTCGTGTTGATTTTCGATGTTGTATTTCTTCACTTGCTCGTTGCGAAAGGATGTTGATTTCAAAGGCTATGAAAGACATGCCTAAGCTTTAATTCGTAAACCTATAAACTGACAAATCCTTGTAGCATTATTCACTTTAGACAATTTTGGTGTGACAAACCGATTTGCAAAATTCCTGATATTTATGGTGCCTATGGTAATTTTCATTGGGAAAAGCATCAGTACCAGAAGTGGTTCATAATCTTAATACCTATTGAGCATATGAAAATTGCAGCCAATCCATGACAGCTCATTTCTCTCAACACTGACTTGCAGTTCTTTTAATTCTTATGGTTACAGGTTTTATGGAGGTTTGGGACCAGCAACCTCAGGACTACGAGAAGTTCTTCTGACCAGGCGCCAAATTGCTGTTGTCAGTGCTGTGACAGTTCTGTAACCCTGTAACTGCAATAATCAGAAAAACACACACACACAACACACATACAGGCACCCATGGTGGCCATATGATCCAGGCCAATGTCCTGTCTAACTACACATCATATATAGCTGGAGCCTTTGATCCTTCCAGGTCAATATCAACAGAGCATTCATCCTAAAAAGGATTGTTCTTGTGTAAACAGTTCGACAAGTTCATGTACCGTGAATACAATTTACTCTACAACTCTAGATATAAATACATTGTTTCACCTCGGAAAGGAAAATAAGAATACATTGTTTGATTATCTGCTCCCTGTTGTGATATTGTCTGACTGCTCTACGCTGAATTTATCCATAAGGCCATAAGAGATGTGCAATGCAACATGATGTTAGGGCCCACGGTGCGGCCGAGCAACACAAGCAAATGCCGCTAGCTGTTCATGTCCAAATCTCCACTCATTTTCGTGGGAGAAATAAAATCACATTGATTGCACAGGGGAAAAGAAATTCATTTAAAAATAGTAGCTTGAAATCGCTATGAAAATGTACACATAAAGACACCCATTTGGAACACAAAACCTTCGCATGGTATGGACAGTAAAAAAAATGAGCTCCCAAAGAATGGTGCTCTAGCTATAACTTGCTACTGATTTCCTGATTTTGTCGGTTGGATTTCCAGGATTCCAGTTTCCAGCAGATTCAGACAGCGGCATCTTCTTTGCTATCCTCCACAGGCTTCTCTGTAGATGGGGAGCTCGTCTCCTGGGTGCCAGAGCCGGTTGAGACCTTCACAGTGGCAGGCCTTAGCAGCCTCTCCCTTAGAAGGAACCCGCGTTTGACTTCATGCGAGACAATCCCAGCCTTGAACTGATGAGATTCCTCGCGTGCGATAGCCTCATGAATCTTAACATAAGAAATTAGAAGGTATGAGCTCCTGCTATGGCGCATGTAACACAGAAATAACAGCACAATGCCTTTGTATTTACATGTGCAAATATTGTAACTATGTAAGTGCGCGAATCAAACTTTTTATATGAGCAAAAGATGTACTGGCATATACCCAAACTTGTGAATCAGCCGTTTAGACCACCTGTACATAAAAAAGGTGATATAAAGGATAAATTATACTACTTACCGAAGGATCAAATGGCTTGCCAACTGTTTCCACAACTCCTACACCTAAGCTTCTCAATGTCTCTACTAACTGCTTGTATATGCCTTGATAGCTTGTGCTAATCGTCTGCTCTTTATCAGTCTCCGGGGTGATCTCTTGATTCACCTTCTCAAAACTATCAACCAGAGTCAATAGACTCTGAACAACATCCACCTGTATATTTGAGGTAAACCTAGCACGCTCCTTTTCAGTCTGCTTCCGGAAATTCTCCAGATCAGCATTTATACGGAGGAACTTGTCCTTCCCTGAAGTAATTTCGGTTGCAATACTTTCATACTGAGCAGCTGAGTTACTCCTTTCTTTCTCAATGGCAATGATAGCACTCTCAATTCCACCAAGAGCCTCATCATTTCCATCTAGAAAAGCTTTCTTGTATAGACGAAGTAGGTCCTTCATAGGGGGGAAATCTTCCCCATTAACAACCTGCATAAAGCTATTCAGTTTAGTGAAACTTGATGAACCACACTCTTTTTTTCTTTGAGAATATTATGAGTCACGCTCGATGAAATACATAGCTATAAGTTCAAACAAAACACCCAAACAATCATCAATTACCCTGTTCCTCCTCTCAATTCACTTTGCTCATAGTAGTATGAGCATTCCTTTAGTTATTTCATTGTTCAAGTTGCAACAGTATGGATTTATAGTCATGCTTAACAACTAAAATCCGTGCTCTACCCATAGTTCAAAAACTCAATTTAGCCAAGAAATAGCAACATTAGCCATGTCGTCCAATTACTCATGTGATGATTTAGAAAGCAACGCAGATTCCAAAATTAGCTCTTGTTTTCCCGAGTTTAGCCAACCAACAAAAACTAACACCGCATGGTTTTTAGGTTCAGACCATGCTGCATTGGCTTACAAAAAAAAAGAAGTATTTAGCACTCACCAAAACTCAAAAATGTTTACCTTTCCCCACTAAAATCCAGCATTACTCACTCGAATGCTCTAATTCAAGCTTCTTACTAACAAACAAAATGAGCTATATCACTGCGAACATACAGTAGAAAACCAGGAATTAAGAGAGCACAATCTACATATCCTTTTTTTTTTAAAATCCACCACGAAAACGGGGCTCCCTATCCCCTCATCGACGAAGAGAGGCGAAAAGAAAAAAAAAATTCTCCACGAACTAAATCATCACTCCTCGAAGCCGATAACAGCGAGAGGATGAGAAGCGGTCAAAAGGGACGGCGGAGCGGAGATCTCACCTTGGGGTCAGCGGCGGCGGCACGGAGCGGCGGCGGCGCGGCATGGGTGCGCCGGAGGGAGAGCAGCGAGGGGGTCGCCGGCCTCCTGCTGCTGCTGCTGGGGCTCAGGCGAGCAGGGGTTGAGGCGGGTGGGGCTAGGGTTCGGGGGCGGTGGAGGTAGGTGGGGCTTGCGGCGGCGGCGGCGGCGGCGGAGAAGGTCGCCGCCATATTCTATCGTTTTGCTACTACTTCTCAACTGTTCGGAAAATACTGTACTACAGGGAAAAAGGGAAAAACTGAAAGGCAAATGAGGAAATTACACGGTACACACCAGGGGTTGGCACTTGGGCCCTTGGCACTGCTTGTGTGTAATTCTACAGTGGTTTAAAATTTTATATTTCATTTAAAATAGAAATAAAATGATTAATTTAAAATATTATTCATATGATTACAGATCCAGCTCGATGGATTTGTGGAGTTAGGAATACACAGCTTCAAGAAATATTGGATCTGGAGGCTGGAGCTATGTCAAACATCCACGAAGTTAAAATTTAAATCTGAAAAAATTAATTTGGACTTGATTTTAGGATTTTTCATCCTAGTCAAAATTAGGCTTACCCATAAATTATCTTTGACCCTTTTCACTTATTTTTTTATCGTTTATTAGTTGTAGCTTAACCTACTAGAGGCTTAGAACGTAGAAGTTTGTGAAAATTTTAGAGGATTCTTTAAAGTTTTTTTTTAGAATTTCTTTACTTCAAAGAAAACTTGAAGTGATATTAATTATGTTAAGAAAAATCTAACAACCTAGCGGTGTATTCTTCAAAGAGAAACTTTATTTGGATGCACACAATCTACGCGTAACATATATGTGCACATATGTATACCCACACATTTGAAATAAGATAGGTTTATGCTCATAACCATCAAGATATGTTTACGCTCATAACCACCTAATATATATGCTCTAAATGACCCAACAAGCTATAGAGATCTACATCAATACAATATTATGTGTGTGCAACTGGTAGCAGCTTTGTAGCCAAACAAAACACAATAATTCGTGAGTTCTTGTCGGCTATGAAGCATATATAGTTCTGGGGCTAGAGAAAATTATAACACGACTATTTGTACAAACTAGCTACTACAATGATTATTAATTATATGAATTTGGACTAGAGCTAACTGTTCAATTTATTATTATACTTTTGATATGGTCCTATTGATGTAACATCACCAATTCAATATTACTGAGGAAGTTCCCTCATACGGATAGAAAATATATAGTTTCTTGATTGTTTCTATGCTAATAAAAACAATGTGATCTAGCTCAAGCCTAAATTGGGCCTAAATATTTGCAATTTGAGCAAAAAATTTATTTGGTTCCTTGCTAAAAATAAACGGTACCAAATTTTAGTATAACCAAATTTCGGTAAGCCAAAAATATAGAGATAATTGGAGTAAGCCTTGTCAAATCTCTTCTTGTTTTAAGAGAAGTTTTTAGAGTTACCAAAATTCGATAGGATACTAGTGGTAGACGGATAGCTGACCGTTGCCATTCTCCAAAATTGCAAAGCCAAAATTTGAGCCATAAACCAAAGAGAGCTTTTCTTAGACCCATTTTTTGCACTCTTTAAAGATCCAGGGATATAATATGGTGTGCATCTAGCAAAATATACCCCATAATTCATAGGATGTGGTTGCGAATTAGCCGATGAAAAAGAAGACAAAAAGAAAAAAAAATAAAACGAAGTATCCAGAGGCCACGAGTCCAGGCGCTTCTCCCCCCCGAAGCTCGCGCGCACGCACGCACGCTGGGCGCTTCTTCTTCCCCCGCGCATCGTCCGAAATCCTCCGGATTTTCTGAGGAATCCCCCCGAATTTCCTTGCGTCCCATCATGGCCTCCTCAGGTAATTCCTCCGTGCCAATTCGTGGTATTCATCAAAGGGGGGGGGGGGATTTCTTTCTCTTTTTTTTTTCAAGCAATGGATGGTGAATCGAGGGCTAGGCGAAATTACTAATTACCCTCGCCATTTTCGTGCGTATCCTGCCCTTAGCCCACCGCCACCGCCTCCGGCGATCCCCATCCATCCCGCGATCCGATACCCGCGCACTTTTTTTTTCTCGAATTTGCGTTAACCCTAGCTTCAGTTCTAGAAATTTGTTTGCCTTTTAACCTTGATACTAATAACAATTTGATGGTTCCCAAAAAGTTCCCATGTTAGAACCGCCACTGTCTATTGCACCGTAAAAGTATGCAGCAACCGAGGCGCTTGATATAATCTATTGAGCATCTAATGAAGCAGGGCTAGATAGAAAAAAAAAGAGAAGTTCAGATTGTCACAGCTGCAACTGCAATTGCTTCTAGAGTTTTGCATGAGAAAATATTATCGCAGTCTTAGGACTTCTTATTTCTGTTGTGAAATCCTGGGTATGTTATCAGTTCTCACTTTAACACTCGCTTGTATGGTATGATTATGCATTTTTATGCAGATGTCTCCGTTGATGTTCGGCCAGAGTTTAACTCTTTTGATCATTTGAGAAGCATACGATATATTGCAACAGATAGACCATGGCTGAGTAAGTACAGCCTGAAGCTAGCCTTTTCTTATTTTGATTGATATGGCCTTGGTCATTAGCACAATTGAGGATTAATGAACTATCTTCCTTTTGGTGTCTGGTTTCGCTAACAGCGTTATATGGAATAAGAGTTCAACCTGTAACACCATTCAGCAGTTTGAGCAGTAGACCTGATCTGGCACTCATTCATCAATGCCTACCTGATGAGCTGCTTTTTGAGGTAATATGTGGACCGATGGGCATTTGTCTTCATATTTGTATCATATAAAATGTATTATGGTAAAATGGAATTCCTCATCTCTGTAGTATAATTTGCTTCCTTCTAATTGATAAAATATCACTATGTAATATCCTCAATTGACATATAATCTTTTTCTGCTCAAGTATATAAGTAGCTTTGTGGCTCTATTCTGTAGTACCTCCTTGTATCAAATTATCATTACATCAGCATGAAAGAAGTGGGAATACTTAGCTCAGTAACAAATTACATGTCTCTTTGCTGAACTACACAGATCTTTGCAAGGATGAGTCCATATTCTTTAGGGAGGGCTGCTTGTGTGTGTCGCAAGTGGAAATATACTGTACGCAATCCGACTTTGTGGCGGAATGCTTGCCTCAAAACTTGGCAGGTTAGTTTACACATATCTATTTTGGTTGGTTTCGTATGCGATGTTTTGCTCAAATATTTGAATTTTACATGTGAAGAGGACTGGAATGGAGGCTAACTACCAGATGGTGCAGTCGCTATATGATTCTTCTTGGAGGAAAATGTGGATGCTGAGACCAAGAATCCAATTTGACGGTATAAGTTCAAGAAGAATTTTATCATAACATATGTTCAAACATTAATTTGATGAATGTTAAATTCATATGCGCCAACTAGGCTAATATCATAGCACACATCACATTCTTTAGATTTGTGTGGAAAGAAATTGTCTAGATTTTAATCAAACTGATAAAATGTCTCATCATGAGCTGTTTTTCTCTCACTTGGCTGTTTAAAATTTTAATCAGGTATGTACTGTACAATACTGGTACCTTGGTCAAATATTGTACAAAAGTATGTAAGCAAAGTAATGTGTCATTCATTCTCAAATTTTCATGTGTCACTAGCCTAGAGCTCGTGCATTGCAACAGAAAACAAATTGAGTTTCTAGCTTATTAAGTCAATTAATAAGCACTTATTTAGTCTAAGTAATACTATGAATTTTCTTTTAAACAAATAGGTGATTTTGAAATTTGGGGGAGCCAATAGTGAAATAGGGGATGACTTGTTGAAAGGTGGTGTAATAATATAGATTGTGCGGCCCAGATGTTAGTGGTAGGGGTGGTGTGGGAATGGACACCACCACTACTAACATTTTAAGTAGTATAGATACCGGCATACATGTAAAACAACAAAATACTACTACTGTACACATGCATCATACTCTTGTGAATTGGCTGTGCAAAGACGGTGGTGGGAGGAGGTGCATAGCAGCGTGGAGGCGGACAAATCACAGCATGTGCTCAGGCTTGAGCATTGTGCACTGAGCCCAGGAAGAATCACAGGTTCAGAGCAGAAGAGCTGCATTGACATGTTGATACACTGTGCACCAGTAAAAAAAATCTAGGCCAGAGGAATTTTTTAAAATCATTGCTGTCTCGCATAGCTTCATGAGGTGTAGCTTTTTCATAACACCAAGATCTGGTTCCGATCTGTCTCATCTAACTGTTTGTGCCACCATGTTTACTTGTGGCCAGAGGCTGCTCAACTCACTTGTCAATTCCAAAAATGCATGAACAACAAGAAAACATTTTGTTGCACAGATCTTGGAGCACAACCAATGGCTGATCGGAGTTCGTATGTACCTATTTTGCTGCCTAAAAAATTCCAATTATTACTGGTCCAAATGAAATGGACATCAATTATTATGGTGACAAGTGAATGATCAGTTGATTGTTTTTGGGAATGTGTATGCCAGTTTATCTGTTCAATACACTGAATTTCACGCATAATTCTATGTTTATTATCACTATGGTACACATTGATTTCGTGCATTCACTTTGGGTTGCATGCTGAGACACCATGACATTTTTAAAGTACAGTAAGAATAGTATGACCCGCAGTGAATGCGCTTTTGACTCATTAATGAATGTATGTCGAGGCATATCAGGCTGTTACATTTTGACTGAATTTCAGCTGCAGACTAATCCTGTTGCATACTGCGATAATAGTGTATTTGGATCAGTAGTTTGCTACTGAAGACTAGCTGAAAGGCATTGCATTAGTTTTGGAACTTTTCTGTTGTTATTGCTGTAATTGCTAGAGTACCCTGTATTGTGGCTATACTTTCTTTGGTTCTTTGAGCGAAATTTGATACTTGTTGCTTCTTCAGGTCTTTATGTTAGTAGGAACACATATATCCATACGGGGACTGCGGAGTGGCAGTTCACAAAAACTGTCAATGTGGTATGATATTATGGTGGTATTATTGTTCATTTGATTATACTTACCTGTACAAATACCGGTCTTTAGGATTTGGTTACTGCATATTTCTATTGTTGGTGTCTGAATAGCTTTAGTGTTTAGTATTAATTTATGCGCTTATTGTTTCCAAGTTAATCTGTTAATGGCATGGTAATGATTTTTGTTTGCCCCCCAGGTTTGCTACTATCGTTACTTGAGATTTTTTCCAAGTGGAAAATTCCTCTACAAGGTTCATATTTGAATTCCTTTTGTTTTCTACAGTATATTTCTCGTTAGTGTAACATCGGTTGATATTTTAATTTCCTGTGAAGAGCAGATTTCCCCACAGAAGATTAAGGATGTTGTCAAGTGCATGCATTTCCGGGCATCCAAAGGTGATTGTGTATTTAAAGGCGACTACGTATTGTCAGAGGATGGCCAGGTGAAACTTATCGTACTTGTTTATTCGTCCTTGGGCAGGATACATCAAATTACTGCCAACATTAATCATTAATTAGTTTTTTTTCTGGCACACAGATAGAACTGGCACTCCTGTATCCAGGGCGTCGCTACACACTAGTTAGGATGCGCCTCAGGTATTTTGGCTTGAACTTCTGTCTATGTTTTGAACTCTTGATGATTTCTCAGTGCTTCTAATTTGAAATTTGTGCGGACATTTTGTAGGCTTAGAGGCACAACTCTGGGCGCAAACAACAGGTTGGATGTATTGAAGATCTTAACCACCGGGGTGAATGCAACCGAACTGAGAAACTGGAAAGGCAGCGTGCTTGAACTTGTGGAGACCTGGGATGAGGATGAGACGCATGATCCAGAAGTTCCTGCTGTTACCCACAGCAGGGGTTTGACCCCATTTGTGTTTGTTCCATTTGAGGAGGTATGACCTATGATCTATACTACTGTTAGGTGTAATGCTATGTTTTCATTTGCGCCCCGCGCTTTTCTTTTGTTTTCTATATTGGAAAATTATTTCATACCTAGATAGCCTAGTAGAAAGAACTGACTAATTAATGGCTTTGACTAAAATGTTCAGGCTGATACTTCAGTGATGAATCTGCCAGTGGAGAAGATGGACTACTTTGTCCCTGGGTGATCTTGCGCACAAATAATAGTTTTTCCAAGATATATGATGAAGACGCAATTTCGCTGATGTTAGGGCAATAATGTGCATACACCATCAGACGTCAGTCTTTGTTCAATTTCATGCTCATGTTGCTTGTATACTGTTGTATGAATAATGCTATGTTTTGTTGGTGCTTGAAAGCAAACATTTTGTTGGACCATCCTCCCGCAGCAATAATGGTCCAATACTTACTAGTACATGGTGTTGCCTTGTAAATAGATCATGGTGCAACTGATGAAACAATACATTTGTGGTTCAGTACATTTCTCACCAAACACTGGCCTTGTGATATGTAGTACAGATGAGAACCACATGTAATATAATGTAATGTAATGACTGCTCTTTCTACATTGCCAGGACTGCAGATTAGGAGAATTTGGTCCTCGGATACATTCTGAAATATACTTGTACTGAAGATGAACATTCCCAGCGGTATCATCCGCGTTGTATATGGCTTGAAAGGGGCATTATGACATTATGAGAAGATACACTTCCATGAGCTGTATATATAGCTGATTATTTAGGGTGGCTAATTTGTAGCAGAGTTGCATGAATATTTCTTCTACATGCTGCTGGGTTTGGGTTCTTTCTCCGTGATCACGAGCTCGTTCCACTCCGGGTTGCGAGGGAGGTAAGTCTCCTGCAGGTTTTGAAACGAAGACGTCAGAGCAATGACAGTTTTTGCCTCAGGCCTTGAGTTGCCAACTTATATTGAGAATAGCATTTGCTTTTCAGCAGATGTAGTTTGTTACTGTCTTGGTCCTCTTGGACATGAACTAAAATTTGATGTCAGAAATATTACTCCCTTCTTCCCTAAATGTTTGACGCCGTTGACTTTTTTAAACATGTTTGACCGTTCGTCTTATTCAAAAACTTTTGTGAAATATGTAAAACTATATGTATACATAAAAGTATATTTAACAATGAATCAAATGGTAGGAAAAGAATTAATAATTGCTTAAATTTTTTGAATAAGACGAACGGTCAAACATATTTAAAAAAGTCAACGGCGTCAAACATTTAAGAATAGAGCGAGTAGTAAATTTTCTTGAATACCCAAGGAAAACCTGATCCAGCTTTAGGGAGATTGATGCATGTTTACCAAGTCTCTAAACGGTATGATTTTTGTTAAAAATAACTTCTACTTTGTGTTATATACTACAAGTTTCTATCTTGTGCTCGTTTTCTGAACGGCTAAACAATGTGATTTTTTTCCAAAAACAAGTTCTATTGAAAAGTTGTTTTTTTAAATTATTTCAATTTACTAGTACTTAATTGATGTCGTTCCGTTTAGCATGCGGGAAGAAGATCCCAATTCATTTTTCCTTCAAAATTCCTTGAAACGACCTCGAGGTTGGTGACGGTTCAACCATCCATAATTCTCTCATTTTCCTCCACGAGCTCCAAAATTCCTGTGTGTTCCAACATATTTCAACCATCCACAATTCTCTCATTTTGCAATGATCAAAACTCTAGTACTTGACTATAAGCGGCACTTCGTCCAGACGGCCACTACAACCGTACTACTTGATTAAACTCTAAAACAACATTTGCAATTGCAATTAGTATTCCACTACTTGACTCACCTACACTATCGTAGTCAGATAAGAGTAGTTCTACTCATCAATTCAATAGCTGAAATTTATTTTTCCCCGAACACGAAGCGAACGAGAGCTAATTGAAGAGAGAACAAGATGAATCGATTTGGGGATTGCTGAACATATTTTTTTTTCCCTTTCCGATTGCACGAAGCGAACGAGAGCTATTTGAATTGAAGAGAGAGCAAAACGGAATCGATTTGGGGAGAGGGAGGGGCTATAGACGTACGGAGATGTAGGAGCAGGTGGGGAGGACGCGCATGCCGCGCTCCCGCGCGTGGGCGAAGGCGGCGTCGCAGAGCCGCGCCGCGAGCCCACGCCCGCGCTTGCTCCCCGGCACGTACGTGTGCGCCATCTCCATCACCGCTGCCGGCGTCGTCGCGCCGCCGCCGCCGCCGCCGTCGCCGGAGGAGGAGGAGCGCGGCTGGGCGGCGGCGAGGAGGCGGTACTGGAGGTAGGCCTCGCCGTCGGGCGTCTCGAACCTCCTCGCGTCCTCCCTCCACAACACGACCTCCTCCTCCGCCGCCGCCTCCCGACCGCCGGCCTTCGCCAGCGTCGCAGACCCTGGTGTGTTCGGCCCCAAATTAGATTGCAAAGCCACTGGAATGTTGCGCTGCCTCCGTTTTTTCCTTTCCTTTTGTTTTTAATTTTACTGATCAAACTGCCCGTGTGTTGCCATGGTAAAACTAAAATTATGCTAAAAATATTTAGTGAATATAGTTAAAACTAGTTGGGTGGCTAGCATCAATTTAAAATTATCTATTTTTTAATACATGATTTTATTTAAAATTATCATTCACATAATTCTAATAATTTTATAGTTTTTAAAAGGTACGCCAGTCGCTACCCCTTCCTCGGGAGCGCCTACGGATCGGGCGATCGATTCGGGGCTGAGAAATCGGGCGCGTCCGATTTACGTGCAAAACTATTTTAAACCGATTTTTCTCTTAAATTAATTATCCAAATCATAATCCGATTACACCATTAAATTCGTTGCAATTAAATCTTCAAAAAAAGACCACACATGGATATATTCCGACGAAAAAAATTAGCTTATTATTGATTTTTTTTAAATGTTGCACGATGTTCCACCAGGTATATCGGAATTGTCTCACTAAGTAGATCAAAAATGTTTCACTCGTTTAAATCAGGTGTTGTTTCACCTTATATAAAAACAATGTTTCAGCAAATAGTGAAAGAATGTTTCAGTTCACTACAACATTAGATTTATACATAGTGAAACATTATGATTGCACTAGGTGAAACTGTTTGATGGTATTTTGGTGATTATACATGTACACAAGACTTACTCATGATGGACAAAGCAAACAAGCAATTTGTAAGTTGGCTAGCTTATCATTTCTATGCAATGCTTGGCCATGTATATACACGCAAATACATGCATGCACAGGCAGCTGGGGATATATATACTTAGATTAGTATAGGTGCATGTATAATTAACCAATAACTAGCCGTGTGAAGATTGGCTGGTGAGGCAATCACGCGCATGCATGCATGTACTACAGTAGACGGTCGTATGTGTGTGCATGCCTGGGTGATTAAGCAACCTATGCATATCCGAGTGATTAATCATGGGCTCGGCCCATATGGCCGAAGACGATAGCTGCCTACGCGCGGGTGGCTGGACCTCTATCTCGCTAAGATTTCAGAAGTTAATATGCGGAAGAGATAAAACCAGATGAATTAAGAGATAACCAACAAACCAATTGATTTTATCTCTATAACAAACTTGATCGAGTTAGTTACTTCGCGCGAGCGCTAGCGAGACGCTTATCACTGGACTGTGGCCCAGCAGCAGAGAAACAAAGCGAATTACAAATCAAGTTTATCTCTATTGATTATTTCTTATCTATAGAAATAATGATGAAGGAATCACCACCCAGCTGCGCATGCGCGGGCGGCTGGGCCTCCATCTCCCCGATGCTCAGATATTTGACGCCGGGAGAAGCTAAGAGATAAAATCAAAGAAGAATATGAACAGATAACAAACTGGTCGATCAAGCCTTATCTACAGCGAACTTGATGCGGAGGAAACGGCGTGCAGATGCGGTGAGCACCGACCTCAGATGCCTATATAAGACGTCAACCCCTCGGCAGCCAGGGGCATTGACGAACTTCTCCACACATTCATAGACCAACGCATCTAGCATCCACAAGCGATCGACACACAACGCAGCCATCCATCCTCGACGCGGCCATCCATCCTCAACACAATCTTCCCTCGTCATCAACACATCCATCATCCAGCACCGGAGCAACAGCGCGTGCGCGGCCGGAGCACACCGACGGTGGCGAGCGGCTTCGGACGAACCGGCGTCCGGCAGGGGAGCACGAGGAGGGAGATGGAATCGATGGTCTTCCAAGGTAAAATTAATTAAGATCTGTTTCCTTCTTATTTCATATGTAGCACGTACATACGCATGCATGGAGAGGCATCAACTAGAGTATGGAGTAGTACACTCGTGCGGCCAAGTCGATGTGCGCTGGCGTCATGGCGCCGGATGACGGCAGCGGCTATGGAGAACACCTCTTTTGGTTGGTTCTCGTCGTCAGGGCGCACGGATCGCTGCCGGCGCTCTCACACACACATCTACATCATCATCACAACCATGCATGGAGAACGTGAAGCGAAGACGACGAGACGACCACAAGCAGCTTAATGGAGGTTCTCTTACAGGCCTAAACCTGCGGAGGTAATTAACTGGGAGCTTATCGAGGCCCCAGGAACCAGGAGACCACATCGCACAAGTTAGATCTGTCCAATGACAAATTATGGAGCGCACATACATATATATTACATTGGGAATTTATATTTATGATCTTTTAAGATTAATAAAGAGAATGTTCCCTATGTTTTGTTTACATTGTGTATCTTGGTACACTGGCACGCTCGCACTTATTTTCTCTCTAAACATAGAGGGATATATTTTCGTATTTTTCCATCCTAAACAGAAACATTTTTCGGTGGAACAAAAAAATAAACCAAATTCCCTTAATAGGTTTCCAAAATATGTGGGTTTTTTTTGTTACAATGGAATATTTCGTTAACTGCAACATTAGATCTATACATAGCGACACATTGTGAGTACACTAGGTGAAACATTTTTTATAGAACAAACAATAAACCAATTTTCCTTAATAGAGAGTTTCCAAAATATGTGGGTTTTTTATTGCAAAAGAGTATTTTAATTCACTGCAACATTAGATCTATAAATAGTGAAACATTATATGGATACTAGGTGAAACATCTTTTGTGAAAAAGGGGAGGAAGAAGTGGGTGGGCCAACAGGTAGCACATGGGGGAGGGGCGCGCACCGGGGGAGCGCCCGATCCGGCTCCCCCCACGCCGGTCGCCCGGCGACAAGCATTATCGCCCTTCCTCCTATGTTATTTGCTTACTCAATTTAACACTACTTCTATTCATACTTTTTTGAACTTTAAAAATTAGGCCTTATAGTTTTTAGAATTCATTGTCTTGTTGGCTTTCATTTTCAAAATTTTTAGAAGTATCGTCAAACATCGCCAATTTACTATTCTACGACTCGTCCACTGCCACCTCTCTTTATTGTTATTGGGATTTTAGAAATCAAACATAATTATTGTTTGTGTTCTCTTTTACTTTCTGTAAGTCTCGTCAAATCGTTAGTGGCTTTGCCACTATACTCCTCTGAAGTCCGCCCACTGCCTCCCCTCCTTATTGTCATTGAGATTTTAAAAATCGAACATGATTATCATTGGGGTTTATTTTTTACTCTCCATAAGTCCCGCCAACCATCGTGACCATGCTGCTTAACGACATGCCTATCGTCACTCCTCTTAATCGTCATTGGGATTCTATTTGGGGTTTTGTTTATAGTGTTTAGATATCCCATCAACGGCCAGCAATCTACTCCTTTACAGGTCTATTACTTCTCCTCTCTTTATTGTCATTTGTCATCGTTGTGTTCTAGATGTATTTTTTTAAAAAAATGTATATTTTTAATTCCGATAATTTTTATTCATAAATTATATTCCTACTTGAACTCTTCTAATTATTTTTAATCTTTTGAAATTTATTTTATTTATAATTTCGAATTTTAATTAGTCTCGTCGTTTGTTTTAGATTGTCTCTTATTTCAATAATATTTATATTTTATTACAAATTTTATTTATTTTATAATTTGTATTTAAGTTGAGATCTTATTTTTCTTTTTCTATTTTTTGAATTTATTTTATTTTTTATTTCGAATTTTAATTAATCTCGTATTGTGTTCTATATAGACTATCTTTTAATATTTCTTATTTTTTATTTCCAATTTCAATTGTTCCAAAATTGTATTCCTACTTGAACTCTCTCTCTCTCTTTTTTTTTCTAATTTTGGATTTTATTTGATTTTTTATTTCAAATTTTAATTAGGAAAAAATACGAATTACCCCTCAAACTATCGCGGTCGTCCGAATTACCCCCCTGAACCACAAAACCGGACATTTTTCACCCCCAACTATGCAAACCAGACGATTTACCCACCTTGACCCAATCCATAGTGATTTTGTCCAACGTGGCGCACACGTGGCAATCCAGTCAATGTTTTTTTAATAAAAAATTGTGGGACCCGCATGTCATCTCTTCTTCCTCTCTCTACTCTCTCTCGCTCTTTTCTCTCTCACGCAGTGCACACGGCGAGGACGGGCAGTGGGCGTGGTCAGTTGGCGAGGACGGCGCAGGGACGGGCAGTCGGCATGGACGGTAAGCAAGGACAGCGCAGATGGCGGCGCGGACGGTGCGGACATTAGTGCGGAGACGGAGGCGGCGGTGGAGCTAGCTAGGTGGAGGACTCCGACTCCGGCAACTCGTTGATGCGATTGGCGAGGTAAGGACGGCGGCGCGCGGGGGGCGGTGGGGGCCCGAGGACGACGGCGGCCGGCGATGGAGGCGGAGGCCGACCGGGTGCGAGGGGACACGCGGTGGGCGGCGGGCTCCTCATCCTCGTCGTGGGCACACGGGAACGCGCGGTGGGCGGCGGGCTCCTCCTCGGCAGTGGCGCGCGGGGATGCGTGGAGGGACACCGCCGCCATCGCGGGCTCCTCCTCCTCATCGTGGGCGCGCGGGGACTGCGGTGGGCGGCGGGCTCCTCCTCGTCGTTGTGGGCGCGCGGGGACGCACGGTGGGCGGCGGGCTCCTTCTCGACGGTGGCGCGTGGGGACGCGCGGTGGGACACCGCCACCAGCGCGACTCCTCCTCCGAGCCGGCACGCCGCACCCCGTCCCAGCTCCCCGCGCCTCGCTCCCTGTCCGTCGCATGCTCTCCTCGTCCGCTGGTGATGCGCCGCCGCTGGCATAGCGAACCGGGCCCAAGGGTGGGAGGAAGAGCGCGCCGCCGCCGTCTCGCTTGCCTCACCTTGCCGCTGCAGCCTCGCTTGGCATCACCTCGCTCCGCCGCCACGCTCCTCCCCTGCCGCCGCCATCGCCGCTCCGTGTCTCCCGTCGCCGCCGACCCGTGAGAGAGAGAGAGAGGAAGAGTGAGACAGAGTGAGAGAGAGAGAAGAGAGAGAGGAAGAGGGAGAGAGAGGGGAAGTGGAAGAGTATGACAGGCGGGTCCCATAATTTTTTATTAACAAATGCTGACTAGATTGCCATGTGTGCGCCACGTTGGACAAAACCGCTCTGGATTGGGTCGAGGGGGGTAATTCGTCCGGTTTGCATAGTTGGGGATGAAGAATGTTCGGTTTTGTGGTTCAGGGGGTAATTTGGACAACCGCGATAGTTCGGCCGGGGAGGGGTAATTCATACTTTTTCCTTTTAATTAATATCGCGTTTCTTATATAGACTCTTCTTTCAATATTGCTTTTAATTTCGAATTTTAGTTATTTTCAAATTGTATTCCTACTTGAACTCTTCTTTTTTTCTAATTTCGGATTTTATTTTATTTTATTCCAAATTTTAATTAATCTCGTATTGGGTTCTTATATGGACTCTTCTTTCAATATTCCTTATTTTTAATTCCGAATTTAAGTTATTTTTAAATTATATTACTAATTGGACTCTTCTTTTTTTTTCTAATTTTGGATTTTATTTTATTTTTATTCTGAATTTTGATTAATCTCGTATTGGGTTCTTATATGGACTCTTCTTTTAATATGACTTATTCTTTTAATATGACTTATTTTCAATTCCGAATTCAGCTCTTTTTAAATTGTATTTATATTTGGACTCTTCTTTTCTTTTTCTCCGATTAATGTGGAAATTTTTAGCCCCACAGCGAACGTAGTGACTTCTTTCAAAGCTGTTATAATATAATAGATTTGTGATAAGAGCCGACACATGGTGCCTAGATCAATTTTGTCAGCAATGAGACCATCCATATATTTTTGTACATCAAATTTCTGCATAAGCCCGATTGATCAAATGTATCCCGATTAATTGTTGAATAGTACATTCTCCGTTCAACAACCGTATTCCGTCTTTCATGAACCAAAGGCGAAAAATCGGAGCTAGAAGAATGAACTAAAGGTGAAAACAGTTATTGATGTCCATGGATCATTTTTGGTGATGGCCAGTGATGTATGCAGTGGCAGGTGAGGTCCAATCTTGGTGTATTATGTGGTAAAGCTTGAAAAACAGTGAACTTGAGGTGAACCAGTCGAAAGCCAAATGACCTGGGTTGAACCAACAGGGCCATGGCAATCCTCTCCCTTTCCTCCAGCATGGCGGCACCCTCTCTCCATTCCCTCTAGCACACAGCGCTGCTCTCCCTTCCCTTCAGCAGGACATTGTTGAGAAGGGCCATGTGTGAGGGGCATGGTAGGCGGCATCCTAGGACATGGCACATTCCCGGTCGCTCATCGTGGTGTCCGGGCTGGATAGAAGCGATGCCGTTACTGGCTTATTGCCTGCATGGCGTCGAGAGGCCCTATGGATCTGAGGATGCTAGCGTGGTTAGCGCTGGATTTTTCATATTTTGGTCCTTTTGAAAAACTTATTTCGCAAATAGGCCCCTGGAAAAACTTATCCCAGAAATGGTCCTTTTTGAAGCGCCGGAGTGGCTGGCGCCGTCGTCCAACGGGAGGCGCCGTCACCCTGCCACCGTGGCACACGCGAACCGATGTGGCTGGAGGAGGGCACCTGCCATGTTGGCGTCGCCCCCCCTACCCACCCCTCGTCTCCATTCCTGTTTCTCTGTATGTAGTTGTAACGGTGTCATTTTTGTTTTATTTTTTCAGATGTTTTTTCACATTTAGAATCACGATACAGCCAACCACAAAAAAATTTAAACTCGAACGAAATATACCACTTAGCTAAGTCTGAAAATAACTAGAATACCACTTAGACCATAACTCTTTTAGTAAAACCCTTTGATCAGCATGTTAAACATAATGCACTCTAGCACCATATGAAATTACTTAATCTAATTCAAAATATAACCACATGAAATGATAGCCATAAGTTAAACAGTACAGAGAGATGCAATTTTTTATTTTATTTTATTTTTTTGATATTTTTTTTCACACTTAGAAGAACATATGAACTAAACCATAGAAAAAATAAACTCAAACGGACAAAATATATGACTCGTAGAATTTTCCAAAGCTCTACCAAAACGGACAAAATATGTCATTTATTAAAATATGCGTAACTTTCTCATACGGACTCGGAATCAAGCAAATAATATATCCATGAATATCTACAGAAAAAGTTACATCCGAATTCCGTTTGCAAGATTGTGTTTTCGAGGAGAGAAGTTTTTCGGTAGAGCTTTGGAAAATTCCACAGGCCACATATTTCGTCCGTTTGAGTTTATTTTTTTATGGTTGGTTCTTTTGAGTTCCTAAGTGTGAAAAAATATCAAAAAAATTAAAATAAAAAAAAAGTTGCACATCTCTCTCCTCTGCACTAGTTCGGAGAGAGAGGAGAGGAGAGGAAAAATTCTACATGTCACATATTACGTCCATTTGAGTTTATTTTTTTATGGTTGGTTCTTGTGTGTCCCTAAACGTGAAAAAATATCAAACAAATAAAAGAAAAAAAGAAAAAATTTTGGGGGGGCGGGGGCGCCAGCCAATCTGGCGCATTCCCCCCAGCCACCTCAGCATCGCCCCGCCACGTCGGCGTGGGGACGGCGCCAGCCACTCTGGCGCCCAAAAAAGGACCATTTCTGGGATAAGTTTTTCTAAGGTCTATTTGCGAAATAAGTTTTTCAAAAAGGACTAAAATGTGAAAAATCCAGGTGGTTAGCGAGGCTAGATCTAGGCTAATGAAAGAGTAGGGATGGGAGTGGAATCCGTTGGAAGTCTCCAGATAAACTTTTGTGGTGCCTTTTTGTCTTTTCATGTTTTCGGTAAAGAAAATATTTTCTCAAATTGCTGGCTAGCCAAATTGACACGTGACTAAACCGCCACACGTACACTATATAGGACTACTGTCGCTATAAAATGGGGGTTATGAGGGTAATTTGTCTGGTTTGAAGAGTTCTTTTTTTTCTTTGGGGGAGGGGGGGGGGGGGTTAAATCGAACTACTACAAAAGTAGTTTAGGAGTGTAACTCGAACTTTTTCCTTCTTGTCAAACATGACAGGTTGCAGATGCAGTGCCCCCACGAGTACCACCTCTACCGTGGACTTTACTTTGTAAAAACATATTCATCACCTAAACAAATGTGAAAGAAGTAAATAATAAAGAATCTCTCCCCCAAGTAGCTAGCAACACATTTTTGTATGCACCTGTAGCACAGTACTAGTAGTTATTACTATTGTTTATCGTCTTTAATTAGCGCAAAAAAACAAAGAAAGATGTGCAGTTGTATTGCTGAAGAAAACATGCATGCATCGATCTTGAGAGAAAGCAAAGCACATAGATAGGCTAATTTCTCCTTTACCTTATTATCTTTCATGTTTTCGGTAAAGAAATTATTTTCTCAAATTGCTGACTAGCCAAATTGGCACGTGACCAAACTGCCACGCGTACACCAAGTAGAACTATTGTCGCTGTAGAAGAGGTTAGGAGGGTAATTTGTCTAGTTTGAAGAGTTCTATTTTTGTTTTTGGAGGGGGGCGGGGTGGGGGTGAAATGTTTAGTATTTGAATTGAGGGGGGTAAATCGAACTACCATAAAAGTCTAGGAGTGTAACTCAAACTTTTTCATTCTTGTAAAACATGGCAGGTTACAGATGCAGTGCCCCATGAGTACCACCTCTACTGTGGGCTTTACTTTGCAAAAACATCATCATCACCTAAACAAATTGGAAAGAAGTAAAGAATAAAGAATCTCTCCCCAGGTAGCTAGCAGCACATTTTTGCATGCACCTGTAGCATATTACTACTCCATCCGTCCAAAAATATAATCATTTTTGGATTTCAACACAGTCTTCGAGATACTACTTTGACTAACAACATCTATAAAACTAAGATGTTTTAAATAAAAAGAGTTGCATATTATAATAGTTTATTTAATGATAAATCCAGTAACATCAATTTTACATAATTGATCTTTTTTATTTTTTTTATTAATAGTCAAAATTAAAAATGTTTGACTTAACACTGTGCTAAAAATGCTTATATTTTGAGGAGTAGCTATGCTATGGTTTATCGTCTTTAATTAGCATAAAATCAAATAAAGATGTGCAGTTGTATTGCTGAAGAAAACATACATCGATCTTTAGAGAAAGCAAAGCACATACATAGGCTAATTCTCCTTTACCTTTTTCTTTTCATGTTTTCAGTAAAGGAAAAGAGGGAATAAATCAATGGAGGCGAGAAGCAAACCAAGGTGCAAAGCACAAAGCAAGGAACCCCTGCGTATGCTAGCATTAGTGGAAGGGAAGCGATCGAGAAGATACCAAACCAAACGACCAATTAAGCTATCTATTCATCTAGCTGATCGAGCCTTCTCCTAACATCCGTCTCGTGCTCGCGCTCGCGCAGAAGCCCATCTATCCAAGCATTCCAATTGCTGCTGCTTCCATCGGTCGGCCAGAATTGCTGCATGCTGTTGTCTTAAGTTATTTGGAGCATTCTTCAGTTCGTCCATCTAGCCTGACTTCATACTTGCTTCACCTGGCTCAGGGCCTCTGGCGCTCTGCTCTATATATATACTCAGGTACGTATTAGTAATAACTAATTATATTTCTTGTAACAATGCATCAACTTAATTAATTTGCGGCTCGCTCGATCAGTGTTACTTAGTTTATTTGTTCATCGATCTTTGAAAAAAAGAAGAAGCAGTTCTACTGATTATATATCAAAACATCAATTGATTATATATGGTTGATGTAATTGTTGTGTATATGTGTGTAGGTGGCGAGTGGAATTGATCGGTTGATACAATCTGATACGATGGGTTAGATTAATTGATTTTCTGACGATTCTCCTCTTCCTGATCACCATGATTAAAGCTGTACACCTTCTAATTGCACTTTCACATTCTCGAATTATATAGCATGTCTATTTCTGTGTTTATTTCCTTTTATTTGATCAATTGATTTGAGACGTTGATGGCTTAACGTGCGCACATAACATCAATATTAGTCGTCCATATATATATATATTCGCGATTATAATTAAGTATATAAGTGCCGGAATATATCTTGGCTTGGGGAGGGGGCTTATTAATTAGCGCCAAGGTGTGAAATGGTTTAGCTAGCATATTAAAACAAAATAATATGCATGCATGATGTTGTTTCAATGGCCTAAAGGAACTGGCATGCATCGATGTTTGCCAATTTTTATCTCTAGTAAAGAAAAGCAAAGTAGATCCCCACATGCTCAGAACTTGTTTATTATTTTTATTTGAACAGAACAAAATTCACTAGCAGCTGGTGATAAAAACCAGTTGATTACATATGCACTATACCTATAGCATATGTATGTATGTGCAAGTTAACCATGTATCATCGACCTATCGAGCACGCTGACGTTAACCAAGCAAGATGGTCCGTGAATAGAAAAGCACAGACACTTTATTCTCTTTTTCCTTCAAAAATAAAATTCTTCAAAAATGACACATAGTTTGTTAAATTCGGACTCCACTAAGACCCCGAATGCCAGAAATATTTTTCCTACATCCGAAGGCATCATGATTCTCCGGTAAATGATTTACAAAAAAACTAGATGAGTGCATATCTCTCATTAGCTTTGTTTTGTACCGTGTTAGCTAGTACGCCTGCTTCAGCAACTCCTGTTGAGTGCAGGGGACATTGTAGAGCAAGATAGTTGTTGGTGTCCTCTGTAATATAAAGTCAATCTTACACAGTCTAATTTCTATTATTATGGCAGAATGTAAATTGGGATACTTTTGATTGGGCTGTGCAAGGGATACTTGAACATTTTGTTAAAAATCAGAGGGACACAAGAGTTATATATTTTGATGGCTGGCGTGGTTTTGGAGCATCAGCAGTCCTTAGAGCTGTAGCAGATGAGCTTACATCTCGAGGAGCTTGGCCAGAACTACACATTGATAAAGTAATCCAGATTGACTGCTCTACATGGAAAAGTAGAAGGGCAATGCAGAGGGCAATTGCAGTGGAACTCAAGCTTGATGATTCGGTAATTGAAATTATTGATAAGACAGATGAGGAGGATGATTTTAAGGGAGTGGATGAAGGCTCTAGAAGCGAGATAATGAGTGTTGCAGAAGTGATTGATCAAGTCCTCAGGGATCACAAATTTATGGTTGCTTTTCATAATGGAAGTGGTGATTACATTGATTTAGGTAGCTTTGGGTTCCCGCAAATTACACTATTTCGTTCCAATCTAATATTATGGACCTTTCGGAAGAGGTTCCAAGGAAGGGAGCGTTACTCTGAGATAAAAGACAAAGTGAAGAACACCCATTTATTCGCATTTGAAACAGAGTATTATATAACAAGAAACAACATTCTCTTCCCAGTACTGCAAAAAGAGGCTGCTGCCATAGCTGCCCATTATCCTTGCATGCGGGAGATCGACCCGGAAAGGATCGTGCATTGCTGTCTATATGGACTATTTCTCTATCTTTGTTTGCCCAAACATTTGGAGAATGAGTGGGCAGCCCGAGCATCAGTGTACTGGATGTGTGATGGCATCATACAAGGTGATCAGGCATGGGAGATAAGCGCTGCACTTTCAAAAGAAATAAAGTGGGATCTACAACCTTCTTTACAAGATGAGGTGCGTCAAGAATTCATAGAATCATCCTCAAAAAACTCTGTAAGTATCCAGAGATTCAAAAACAGATACTTTGATGGGCAAAAGTTTTACCCTTGGATCACAATCACTGCATCAAATAATATTAATCCAGAAACACTACAGGACATCCGATCCAAAAATGCAGAGGCATCGTCTTATTTCTTGGCTCCTGAAAGATCCAGTGATATCACACTAGTGTTATCTGATGGGTTGTTTGACCAATGGAACAACCTCCAAGTTCTGCAGTTGTCATATTGTGACTTCAGCTTTGCATCACCACCTTTTATTGGTTGCCAGAATCTAAGATTTATTGGGCTTGACCACTGTAAAGATAAAAAAGAAGGATGCAAACAAAGTGACCTAAGGAAGTGGCAGTTTCTCCATAGCTTATTAGTTTTGGATCTCATTGACACTATCTGGTACCAAGTATTTTCCGAAGACATGGCAGATCTTTTTGTTAACCTTAGGGAGCTAAATATAGTAGGAGTTTATTGCTCTCACATATGGGGCCAGCTACAAAATAAGATTGAATATGTTGATTTGTCTAGGAAAAGGAATATAAAACTTCCTTCCACTCTAAGATTCTTCAGGCTTGATGACCGTCAACCTACACCGCAGTCCACACCGGGCATTGAATTATCGCTAAAAGGTTGCATGGGATTGGAAAGTTTATTCCTGAGTCGAATATCCAACCTCACGGAGCTGGACCTCTCCGGAACTGCAATCAGGATACTTGACTTCACAGCTATGGTGGTGGAAGTCTCAGGTTTGAAACGACTATTTCTGCTAGGATGCAAGCAACTCCAAGCAATAAAATGGGACAATAGTGGTTCAACGATAAAGCCGGACCTAGAGTTGTTGTGCGTTGACACAAGGTCTAGAAGTAAATATCCTCAGTTATTTGTTGACAAGAATAAATCCCCCGGTTTCTTGTCAGTCCATGCTGTTATTGTGGACGCGAGAATTGCTCGGTCCTTATGCGCTCTAATAGAGAACTCATATCATGTTGATATGCATATCCATGTCACCTCTTCGACCATATATGGTGAAGTTCAATCCGAAGGAACCTACAAAGATAGCATTAGCCAATTAAGTGATCATGTGAACATGCAGCAACAAGACCTTATTTCAGCAGGCCAGTACCATGATGTCCAACTTAGCATGGTTGGCGATGTCCCAATGCAGTCATTCCCCCTTCCTCCGACAACAATGTTGAGCCGCCATATCGAGATTGCACAGGGGAGCCACAACCTGGAGAGCGAGCTGGATGATGATTCACCGATTCTTACTTTAGCTCATCTAGTGCAGGGGAAGGCTGAGTCACTGCATGTGCATGATCTCTCAACCATCACTCCTTTGCCCGGAGGACAATGGTGCTGTCTCAAGTGGTGTCGTATAGAGAGGTGCCCGAAGATAGAAATTGTCTTCCCTAAACACGCATGGAATTTCTACGGTCTGGAAACCGCCTGGGTGTCGGATCTCTTGATGGCCCGTTGCATCTGGAGTAAAGGTTCTCTCCAGTACAGTGGTTCCTTCCAAAATCTGCAGCACCTGCACCTGCGCAGCTGCCCAAGGCTCCAGTTCGTGCTCCCGGTGTGGGCCTCCTCCTTCCCGGACCTGAAAACCCTCCACGTCATCCACTGCAGCAACCTCCACAACATCTTCGTGCTGGACGGAGATTACCCAGAGCAAATAACCGTCGAAGGTGTAGCATTCCCGAAGCTAACCACCATCCACCTGCACGACCTCCCGATGCTGCGGCAGATTTGCGACGTCGAGTTCAAGATGGTGGCTCCCGCGCTCGAGACCATCAAGATCAGGGGATGCTGGGGCCTGCGCCGGCTGCCGGCCGTCGCTGCGGATGGACCGAAGCCGGCCGTGGAGATCGAGAAGGACGTGTGGGACGCGCTGGAGTGGGACGGGGTGGAAGCCGACCACCACCCTTCCCTCTTCCAGGCGCCGGTGCACTCGCGCTACTACAGGAAGAAGCTGCCCAGGGGCTCCGTCCTCAGGTATATATACGGTGCATGCATCGGACCATGTACCTAGCTAGCTGCTCCATCTTGATTTATTTGCATAATACTTGTTCTCAGTTATTTCATTTGTTTGATCTGTGCTTAATCAATTTGCTTTCTCTGTCTACTGTTATATTTGTTGCCTAGGTGAATTGAATCCCTGGGCTTGGGCGGCCATGATTTGGGGATTGATTGGCGACGAATGATGGTGAATCAGTGAGATGCTTCTTGCTTGCTTCTGTTGGGTGATTTGTCTCCGGTGATGTTGCAGCAAGCTTTGTGGTGTGAGCTGTGTGACGGGCACGGACTGACCGTGGCTCGATCTTGTCCTCGTATATGGCCGAGTTGGCCAGAGAGCGAGATTGCCATGGCTCTGAAATAATAAGCGGCTTTGTTTGTGCGTGGATGCACAGACCAGCTGATTGAGTGAGTGTGTGTTTCTTGAATTTAATTAGCATTCTGGGTGTGGATGCTCAGATGCATGTGTGTGTGTGGCTTGATATGATGATCTGCTTTGCGTTTGAAACAATAATAAGCAGTAGCCATTTGTGCCTGCGAGCATATGTATGTGGCTGCTGCAGTGTGACTGTGTGAGAGTGCATTGCTTGTGTGTAACTGAATTCTGAAGATTCTGAACAGATGAGCAGCTGGTTGTGTGTGCTTGCTTGCATGCATGCATCCACCTTGCTCCAATGCGTGTATGTGTGGTATTGTAATTATCAGAAGCTATAGTTTGATCTACTTTCTCTTCTGTTTCCCAGGGAAAAGAGTTAACCATCTCTTACTCCTTGTGTTAACATTTTCTTTCTTTTTTTTTGACAGTGGAGATTTCATTACGCAAATGAAAGCATCCTGCTTCTGCACTAAAGTGCACTAAGCCAAAAACAGAACCCCTTACCTTTTCCCAATTGCATGGTATGTTTGTTCTTTTTTAAAAACCTTCTTTTTTAACGAACATGGCATGTTTTTTCAAACATTCAGAAAGCTCTCAGAGGGACCAGATTTAAGTCATTAGCAGTGAACCGAAGGTCGCTCTGATGATTATAGAGGTTTAGAACGCAAAAGGTCCCGCCAGGATTGGAAACGCAAGGTCTGATTCTCTTTTTCATCACAATTTTTTTTCCTAAGATGTATCTTCTTGTTCCATAACAAAACACACGATTACGTCGAAGTAGCAACATACAAACTACACAAGTACCAAAACCGATATATCCAGGATTCCAGGTCAAATCTCATACGCGTCAAATCCATGTTCTTCACATAAATCCCCTGTAAATCCAAAATTAAGCTAATACAACACCCCCGAAGAATATACAAACAGTAACTTCTTTTTTTTTAATCCCAAAAATCACATAGAACAAATGTTCCATGATTTCACAATCTTGAATAGTAAACCACACTAGTCAGCTCTGCCAGAGAAAATGATAGCCTCTTGTTAGTGACAAAAAATGGCAACTGTCTTCCCATGCATCCATCCATACTTATTATTGCCTAGCCCAGCAAAGCCTATGTAAAGAATCCACTGGCATATAATACTTGTTTACAAAAAAAAAAGACTAACAATGACCAGTACTTATTTCATGGTTTCTTCTTTTGGAGGGCCTTCAGCAATCTTGTCACTTGTTTGCGTTTGGGCGTCTTTAGACTCTATGGCGGTGGCCTGAGCTCTCTTACTTGCGATTTCTCTTTGCATTGCTATTTGATCTTGCATTACTTTCGTCATCTCCTTTATTTGCTTCTCTTCTTTCTCCAGTTGCATGTCCATTATGATCTTAGCATTCTTATCGATTGGTTTGAAATATTCATCTATGGCGGTTTCCTGTGAAATAGGATGGAGGATAAGTTAGCATGTAAGGTCCAGAAACATTAAAAAAAAAAGCATATCATAGAAGTAAATAACATGTCTGATTCTGTTACACCTAAATTTCCATCCTATAAAATCATGGCAAATACGTAAACCAAACAATCAATTAAACCATAGAAGATACGGTGTCCTTCATAATACAACAGCATGATGGCTAATCCACCTCTTACTGTCAGGTACACAGGGGTAACTTGAAGCATTATTCATGATTCAAGTTGTGAGATGGTTCATAAACTAACATGTTCTTTCTCAAAACAACAGTACACATTTCCTATGCAGGCATTGAGACATCGATTTGGTAATTTTATTTTGTGGCAGGATGTCTTACAGCTTCTTCAAGCTGCTGATTGAGGGCTTGCATCTGCTGAACCATTTGACGAACTTCTGATAGAATAATTTGTTCTGGCTGCTTCCGAAGCTCTTCCTTCTTAGCTTGGGCCTGGAAAATGTTCCCAATATTTAAGTATTCGTATAAATGAACACAGTATGGCATTGATCAACTAATGAATGCATGAAGAAAAATGATAGATGTTATCACCATGGTCCATGGATAACCAACCATGCTACCTTGAAAGAATTGCTTTCGCAACATTTAAAGACATTGGAAGGCTGAGTACTTAGAACTTAATAATTTCTATGCTGGAATTAGGTTAAGTGAGCTTAGCCCTTACCAACGCCAAAACTATAAAAAAAACAGAAAAGCGTAATATTTTGTTTCTTTAAAAAAAATTGTTTGCTCCCTTTTATTTACATATCCCACAAGGACCCACATTGTCTTGTACTCCCTCTGTCCCAAGATAACTCATTTCTAGTCTCTAACATTTGTCCCAAAATAAGTTCATATCTATCCCTCTTCATACCCTCGGTCTGCAAATCGAGTTTTATCTCCTCCATACCCTCTTACTTGCCCACCCACTAATGCTACTTTCCTATTAATGAGGGGCACTTTGTTCTTTTTTCCTCCATACTAACTTTTTTTTTCTCGAACACACAGAAAAGCCTCCATACTAATTTGAATCCCACTTGCTAGAAGTGAAGTTATTTTGGGCGGAGGTACTTCAAGGCAGTGCATCATGGATCAGCAGGGGTGTGCATAATAAAAGCTAACACAACAACCACACCGACTGAACAGCCATTACTTAGCATATTTGCTAATTTTATCTATTGGCTATTCTTCTTACGAAATAACTATTCAAAAGCAGGCAATTATTCAAAGTAATTGAGCATGTAAAAATGCTACAACAATCCGTGGTATTTTACATAATTGTATGCAGAAGTAACAATGCCAAGTAAGCACAGTTACCCTGTACAAAAGATATGGAAGTAAATAATCATTCCCAATACAACGTAAAAAAAACAGTTCTTTGTGGCAGTAGAAATTGAATAAGGCTACAATTAGTGGGATGGCTTATCTGAATAAAAAGCAGTTGGTAACCACTACTCTGTACCACTTGCAGGACATAGCTGATATTTTCACAATCAATGAAACCAGCAACTGATATGCATTGTGAGGCACCCGAAAAGAGCACAGTTGTCAATTAGGCACAGAACCAATTTACCATAACAATAATCCCTTATCTGTGCCATGCCAAATTGCCAATCAGCTAAAGGAGAAGATTCCAGCCTCAATTAAACAAAACTCTACTGAAAACAAGATAACCGGTAGTACATTCTTAGCGGGCAAACCCATTTCTATTTCAAGCAGCTCATCCCAAAGAAGACAATTACTAGAAGATTAAGTCTCACACTCAAACATGGTAAAGATGCTTTACTTTTGCTATCACATAACACAATTCATAGATTAGATATATCTTCGAAGAAAATGGCCGTGGCATGGTTAAAAAAAAACAAAAGCAAAAAGCACAGCCTTACCCTCGCGATCCGCTGCTGCATCTGCAGCCTGTGAGCACGGATCCTCCTCTCCTCGTACCCGGACAGCACCCGCACCACGAACCACGCCTTCCTCCCGAACTGCACCAGCTTATCCATCCCCGGCCGCCTCGCCCCCCCACTTCACCAACCCCACCTGCTCCAATCCATCCAAGAACCAACCGATAGCGTCATCAACAACATCCCCTTTTTTTCCCCTGGAAAAAGCGAGGTGCGTTGCTATTCGATTCGAACCGAGATGGATGCAGGTGGAACCGAGCTCCACGGCCGCCGCGTCGTTCCGTCCCCGCCTCGAAACCTTCTCGCCGGCCGCGCGCGCGGCGCGAGGAAGGATGCTGCCGCGCGGGGAGGTACGGTGGGTGGCGACTCCGGATTGCGCGGCAGATCGGCGGCGGCGGCGGCGGCGGCGAGAGGGAGTGGAGAGGTCCAGAGCCGCAGAGGTGTGGGGAGGAAGGAGAGAGAGATAGAAATACAAGAAAAGGGAAGGGGGCATTTGGTTATTCGCCATTTTCTCTTCTCTCCTTTTCATTTCCTGGCACCGCCAAACAGCCACGGTTCCATGCAAATTGGTGATAGAAAAATCTGAAAAGAAAATATATATTTTAAAAAAATATAATTGTTGATAATATAATTACATTGTAGCTTGTATATAAATATAATCTTGTGGACCCATGGTCGTAGCGTCAAATCCCCTTGCGTACACATATATGTTGTATTCTTTTACTTATCCACCTGCATAAATCTTGGAGTACATCTAACCGTGTAAAATTCGATATATTATTTCCACAATTTCTATTGATAAAAATCTAGCCATTTTAATAAATAATGGGACGATCAGTCATTCCCGCTTGTTGATCGAGAATTTTCTCAATAGCACATTCTGCAAGAATAGGGAAATATAAGGGATGTTGAGAAGAAACTTAGTATGAATATATTGACTAAAAAATAACATATATAAAAAGGTACAGGAGAATAAATTAGAGTAAAAGTTAAAGAGCCGAAAAGTTGCTCTAATCGGTTGAGTTACGGGCTTTCGACAAATAAGTTGTTAAAAAATGAACGGGGCAACTATTTCATGGTAAAACTTTTTATATTTATATTATTACTGGCCACAATAGCCAAGGGGGTGTCGGTGGTGGCATAAAGCCGATGGAGACTGAGATGGGATCGCCTTGCTTCCCCGCACGTGGTTGTGATGTTGTCAAGACAAAAGGGGAGGCGTAGCATGGGTCGACATGTCTATGCGCAAGGGCACGATCAAATTAGGAGCACGGAGGGCATGGGAAATGGTGCATCGGCTCTCCGAGGTCGTCTGTTCATGGCTCCATAGCACGGTGGGGAAAAGGGCAGGGTGCGAGCTGTGAGGTCGTGGCATAGTTGAGCTCGATTCGCCAGCACGAGTTCATTGTCACTGAAGCATAATTGACTGGCATGATGATCCTCAGAGATTCACTAAGGTGAGGCGTAGGTTTCCCCTAAATTGCCTCATTCGGAGCATGGCGGAAGCGGCACACTCGTTGTGGTCATCATGGAGGAGCGGCGGCGTAATCATTGATCTAGAGAACCGAGATACTATCGTTGGTGCAGCATGGAATAATGCTTGAGAATGTGAGAGCTGGGGAAGAGAAGGAAGAAGGAGATGGAGAGGAGGGAGATGAGTTGCCCACTAACATGTGAGACCCACGTGGATCCCACTTATCATGTCAGTCAAGACCAGCCACTATATTGGCATACTGCCGAGGGAATAAAGTTGATACGGTGTTGTTAGTTGGTGAATAGGCTATACTTGGTTCAGGGGTAAATTTCAGACTCAGCGACGATGAGGGACCTAAAGTGAACCTATTCCTAGGTCTTAAGATTGTTTGTGCAGTCTTAAATGGGCCTTTCCTTATTGGGGAAAATTTTTCAGTTTGCTGTAGTAGCTTACTCAGCTGAGCGCATGAGACAAAGGCCGAGTTTAGTTCTAAATTTTGAACCAAAAAAACGTCACATCGAACTTTTCTACACATAAACTTCTAACTTTTCTATCACATCATCTCAATTTCAATTAAACTTCTAATTTTAGCATGGAATAAACACATCCAAAGTTATTGTTTTTTTTTTAAAAAAAATTGTACTATGAATAGGCAGGGAGTGATTGAAGTATGTTCAGTTCACTGGCATCCTCCGCTGACTAATTATCCAACGGATTATATAAAGTGGATTATCTATTTGACTTGACTATAATATAAATTTAAGTGATATAATAAATACAGTAGAAAAAAGTTCCCATAGAAAATGTATTTTAAAATATGTTGAGCATATAATTCACCGTAATAATCTAATTAAGCAGGGTATAAAAGGGACAGGGCAATCGACCCATGCCGACCGACGGTTCATGTTGTTCCGCTCCTGTAAGTAGTAACCAAGGTTGACAGTATCCCGATCTGTATTCTAGTATCTTACGTATCTTACGATACTATAAACTTATCAAGCCAAAACGATACCAATCCCACCTACCGAAATGATACCAATCTCACATAATATCCTTATTTTCATAGTATCTCGATTCTACTATTCATTAACACACGATCCTATAAAATTTTAGTTAGTATCCCGATTCTACGACCCTTACGTTCCAACAAAATATTATTTATAATAAGATGATTTGAAAATAATGTAAATAAATATGCTTAGGTTTATATTATAATCAGTTAAATATATCAAAACCAATGTGATTTGATCTCTTGATAAATGTCTCTATTTGCATGACATATATTATTACTATATTTTTTTATATAGAATAGCTATGTGCAATTAATACAAATATTAATTGAACTTAAAAAGAAAATATCATAATATCCGATACTACAATACAATCCTATGATACGATATTACTTTGAGCAAAACGATACTACCTAGAATCCCAATACTGATAACCTTAGTAGTAACACGGCCATGCATCGTGCCATCCCAAGGGGGTTTTAGTACTAAGAGCAGGTACAATAGAAGACTATAATCTAGCTATAAACATATTTTAAAGAGATAAAAAAAAGAGAGAGAAGAGCAGCGGGCTACAAATCTGTAGCCAGCTGTAGCACGGACTCCAAGACGTAATGTGTGTATGACAGGTGGGACCAGGTATTAATAGTATAGTAAGCAACTATTGTATGAATTGACTATTACATTGGCTATAGATGATTTGGAGCTAGTAGTTGGCTATACTATTAAACTTGCTCTAAGGTTGTATTCTTTTCCCCTCTTTCCCAACTCACTTCCCTTGTTTTCCACGCGCACGCTTTTCAAATTGCTAAACGGTGTATTTTTTGTAAAAGTTTTCTATATAAAAGTTGCTTTAAAAATCATATTAATCCATTCTTTAAGTTTTTTAGGCTAATACTTAATTAATCTCACTATAATCGCGTGCTTTGTTTTCCGTGTGGGGAGCTCCCGAACGCAGCCTAAGAAACTAAGCAAACCCTCGGGGTCCGTGAATCATCTCCACCAACCTCCAAACTAAATTTTGGGAATTCTAGAAAAAGTCGAGGTACAACAGACTGGCCAACCAACCATCTGACTGGCCAAACTCTTTCGCTCACTGGGCAGAATTTGCTAGCAAAAATGCCTTGCCAAATTGTTGGCCAAGTGCATCCTCGTGGTTGTGCGCCATCGTTATCTGCGGCCTTCTCGAGTCGCCACCTTCGCATCCTCCTACCATGGTCAGCTAAAGAAGCTGAGGTGACCGGCAAGGAGCGGCACGGTGAGCAGGAGCATGGCCGTCGACACCCCCGAGTTGTCCGTTAATGAGCAGGGGCTGTCGAGAACGTTGGTCCGTGTGGCAGCTTCGGCGAGGAGCAGAGATAGAGATGGATGAGGTCGGGGAGTAAGCTGAGGCAGTCCACGCTACCCCTGCCACCGTCCATCTCTAGAGCTCAGGCAGCAGCATCTAGATCCTAAGCTCCATGCCGTTGACTCCCCTTATCCCTGGCGTCATCGATTCCTCCTTCGGCACTTGCCCTTCCGTCGTCTTGACTGCTGTCCCGCCTCCAACTTATTCCTGTGCTGCCATCCCTGCCTCCGTCCCTCCCGATGTTGTCTCCGCGTCGTCTTTCCCCAGATGTTAGTTTGTTGGACAGTAGAAAAGAAGGGAGAAGAAGGAAAGTAGAGGCTGATATATGGGTCCCGTTGTAATATTGGATATGAAAATAGATAATATGTTAGAGTGGGTAACAAGTTTTGCTTGTCAAATTAGTTAAGGAGTTGGCTATACGAGAGTTTTGATTTGGGTAGACCGTTGAAGATGCTCGGAAAGAAGAAACGCGGCCGCCCAAGCCCCAGATTGGTGGGTGCCTGGGTAGCATCTGCCTGCCTCACTTCCAGGCGTAAACAAGGCGGCACCCCGTAACCACCAGCTGCATGCAAAGGCCCCACATCACATTCACATGGTCGCTTGCGCGCAGCCGCCGCAAACGCACGCACGCACGCATGCGATGCGATCAATCCATTCCTCCACCGCGCGCGGAGTTGGATCCAGGTCAAAGCCGCGTACCTATAGGCCGTCATGAGTTGGATATGATGGATATAACTCTCGGGAGATCGGCTCGATCGATCGTCGTACGCTTTGGACGGCTCGCACGAGCGCCTGTCTCCATCGGTTTCGGTATCGGCAGCAGGTCAGGTGCAGCGTACGGTGTGTGGACGCGGCGGCACCGGCCCGGGAGGGATGCCGGCCTCGACGAGGAGGGCGAGGCCCCATGCAGCGCGCGGGCCGCCCATCCGCACCGACGCGCGTACGTACGTTAGCTACCGGCGAAATCGCGGAGTGGCACGCGGTCACCGTACGTCTCTCTCTCACCGATCGATCGATGGCCGGCGCGCGAGGAAACCGGGAGAAACGGAGCTGCACGCACGCACGCTCGTCGTGCCAAGCCAGCGCGCATCGTACGTATACGCTCCACTGACACCGACACCACGGCGCGGCGGCGTTGGCGCGGGCGCGATCCAAACCACGTGCTCGCTCACGTGGCGAGCCTTCGACCTACGGCTTTTCTGTAACCGGTGGGGGGGATTGTGCATGCGGTTTCACTTTCACGCCTCGTCTCGTCTCGTCTCCCTTTCCTCGCGCGCTCCACGCCATGAGATGCGCGCATCACCGACCCAAAAATGGTCAACTATATATCTGGTGGAATGGGAACCGAAGGAATCTATCTCAGCATAGTCCTGTTACATTTATAAACGGGACTAAAATTTCTTTTTTTAAGTCTCGGTTTTTTTAATGAATCAAGATTATTATGGATTTTTGCCGATCAAGTAAAGATAGTTTCTCCGGTAGTACTTATACTCCCTTCCATCCTAATTTAATCATCATCTAAGAGAACGCAGAGATCGAAAATAATAAAACCTTCATTATTAATAAATTAATCATCATCGGTTAATTAAGATGTTCTGTCGCTTTGTGTTTTATGCATTACATCACATTTTAAGTATTGTTCCCTCCGTTTTATAATGTAA